ACAGTTTGGGAAACACCACACAAATCGTATGTGCAAGACGATACTGGTGTTTTGGGCTGACTCATCTCATCATGAGTCAGAGAAAGCCACAATCAGGTTTAAGTAAAGTAAGAAAAATGGAAAAAATGCCTAGGCATAGCGGGCAGCACACTTCCTTCTACTGCCTGTCTTGGTATTGCTTCTTTTCAAAAAACCCACAGCACTGGAACGAGACTTGTATGAAACTGCGAGAACCCATTGCCGGAGGATTCCTCTCCATGTCTTGTACATTTGCTAGGGAAGAATCACAACCAAAATCTGTGAATAACCTGAAGGGAAGAGTAGAATTACTTGTAAATCAGACTCAGGACTGAAACTAGGTTGGCTGGGCATCCTGTAACTTATGGTTTTCTTAATGAGGGCTGATGACAAGAACAGCATCTAGAAGTCATTGGCCTTTAATTCTACTTAAGTGACTGCTGATAGGTGATCTGAGTTCTTTTGACTTGAAATTTTCACTAAAAAGACAGATAACCACAGAAAGAGAGATAAACACAAACATCATACTTGTACTTCTGCACAGGAAACAGCAGTTTCAGATGGAGTTTGTGGTTTGTATCATCTGGAGTGCCTTGCTCCTGTTTCCCCATACCAGCACTAAATAGACAACTGCTGAATTATTCCTGTACTGTTTCTTTTAATGAAAGGAATCATAATAGCTCTTAAAACCATGGGTTTCCTTGGGTCTATTGAAATTTATTGACTTTTATGTCCCTGCCCAAGGTAGGTATTCCAAGTAATAAATGTAAGGGAGGGCATCTAAATTGGTTTCTTTTGCTGCTGAATCATTTCTACTTATCCGCTAGTATAGTATTTATGTTTAGTGGAAAATTAGGACACTCTTAACTCTACAGCATTCTGTTTCCCTTCCCAGGAGATGTTCAGTCGGTGGATTTACTCTTCAACCTGGATCGTGTTACTGCTCTGGAGCACTTACTCAAGTCTGTCTTGCTTTATTCCTTTGACACATCTGTTCCCATTTCGTCTTCCATCACTTTCATATGCCATTTATCCATTAAGGAACATGATTCTGCCAGCCAAATTTGTCCCAGCATTTCCCACTCTCTAGCTTTTAGCCTGCACTTTGAAGTTAGAAAACGCAAGTGGGTGGAGATCGATGTGACTTCTTTCCTCCAGCCTCTAATTGCTACGAACAGGAGGAATATCCATATGGCTGTGAACTTCACTTGCCTGATGGGTGACCCACAAAGGAGCACAAAACTGGAAAACCCTGTTAATGTGACACTGGTTCCCCCTTCCCTTCTTCTGTATCTGAATGACACCAGTGAACAAGCTTATCACGGGTGGAACTCACTTAGGCACGGGAGGAAGAGCCCAGTGCGGGCCAGGCAAAGGAACAGCCCGCTTGTGGATCCTATGGGTGACAAAGGAAAAGGGAATTCCTGGGGCAAAAGGGCTTCTCGACAGCGAAGGAATGAGAATCTGAAAGCAGCACCAGCAACTTCACCTAATAACTTGAGTGAATATTTCAAACAGTTTGTGTTCCCTCAAAATGAATGTGAGCTTCATAACTTCCGCCTAAGCTTTAGCCAGCTAAAATGGGACAAATGGATCATCGCCCCGCACAGGTACAGCCCCCAGTACTGCCAGGGGGACTGTCCCCGGGCCGTGGGGCACAAGTACGGGTCTCCCGTTCACACCATGGTGCAGAACCTCATCTATGAGAAGCTGGACCCCTCTGTCCCCAAGCCCTCCTGTGTCCCAGCCGAGTACAGCCCGCTCAGCGTCCTCACCATCGAGCCTGATGGCTCCATTGTCTACAAGGAGTACGAGGACATGATCGCCACCAAGTGCACCTGTCGGTAGTGGTGTGCTCTGCTTTCACTCCAGTTTTGGGTATTTCTGCGTTCTCAAAGTATCTGTAGCTATAATCCACTGAAGAACGTTGGTGTAACCTGATTGGGATTTAGCATGGAGTTAGCAGAAGGTGTTTACACCATAGCACTTATTTTTGTAGTCACTCAGCCTTTCTAGAATGTGCAATTAAATGTAAATAGTATCTTTTTATTGGAATAATTATACATTTAAAATGTGGAAAAGGTTTCAACTATTAAATGTATATTTTAAACTGCTTTCTTGTAGATTTAAAAGAAGAAATAAATGCCTGTCACCCATCCCTTGACATCCAGTGCCTTCTAGTCTGCCTCTCTACAGAAATCTTGTGTGTGTCATCTCCAACATATATCTAGGAAGAGAAGAAACTCTTTAATATTAAAATTACCTCCTAAGTTTTTTATTTTTTTTTCCCTACCACATTCCAGCTCTTCCAAGCAAGAAGACATAAATTTTCCACACAGTTCTGTAGAGTTACCAAGTGGTTTCTTGCTTTTCTTTTGCTGCACTCTTTAAACTTTCTCAACAAAAAGGAGGGTAAGAGTTTAAGGACAGCTGTGGGGTGACTCGTGAACACTTAAATCACTGAACTATATCAGTAAGAACTGGCACCAGCTGACAGGTGAGCTGCTAAAACCAGGAAGGCTTCATCTCGTTCAAGAACAAGAAACAGCTGTTCATGGGGTGAGGGCACAGGATTGTTCAGGAGGAACCACACCACCACTGGCTTCTCAACTATGAAGAAATGTTTAAAAAGCTTAAAAAACACCCTGAAGGCTTCTAAAAGCCCTAAATGAGTTTCTGTAAATGTTGTTCAATTGGTTTAGTGTTCTGAAATGTGGGGCCACAGTCTCATTTCCTCTTGCAATGAAACTGTAGGTAACAGTGCCTCGATTCTAGATGCTTTCACATCAAATTTTTGCTGTGATTGCTTTATTTTCTCCTCCTAGGCTTCTTCTAGTTTTAAGAATTGCATCAAAAAAGCTGGCTTCATGCAAGAACCCAAGCTAGGAGATATTTAGTTGGGGTTCACACACAAGCACTCCCAGATTTAGTTTGGTGGTGGTTTTGTTTGTTTGTTGGGTTTTTTTGGGTTGTGGGGTGTTGTTTTTTGGGTTTTTTTAAAGGCTGTGGAGCAGAACTGGCCTGTAAAATTTTTTCAGAACAGCCTTTAAATTTGACTTGCTAAAACATTGATATCTAAATGCTATAATTTTCTCTGCTAAGCCATCCCAAACAACCCCTAGCCTTAGATCCTGAGCTATACAGTTCCAGAGGGCTGGGAATTCAGCCTGACAGGAAAGGAATGTCTCTGAGGGGACAGTACGTGGTGTTACATTGCTGTGACAGTTCACCCGGTCACTGTGATCTGATCGATGTCGGAGTGCTGGAGTGCTCTGGGGAGGTGCAACAGGCATAAATCTGCTGGAAAAGTGAGGTTCCTGCTGCAGGTTTCAGCCTGCAACTGCTGAAATCAAAGCTGGGTTAAATACGAAAAGCTCAAAGCAAATATCTTGATGTCACACAAAAGACATCCTGGCCCCAAACAACACTGTGGGTGGTTGGGTGAATTCAGGTTGTGTCATTCCCCCTGATCCTTTCAAACTCTGGGAATTCAGCTTTGCCAGCCTGCCAGTGTGGTAAATAAATTGAGTTATTTCCTGACATCAATTGAAAAGGCTATTTCAGATGGACAAACCCTGGGTTTGAGTTAGTGACAGGCAGCTGTAGAAAATTAGGACCTCAGCAACAGGGCGAAGGTCAAGATCTACTCCCTAGAGAGGATTTAGGGAGATGCAGCATTTCTAGTTTTCAGGGATACACATGCTGATAATTCCACTGTCTAATATATTCCAATAATGTGGAAATGTTTAACATATTCTAATAATAAGCATGTATAATATATTTTAATAAATCTAATATCTTCCAATAATGTTGAAGATGTCTAACATATTCTGTGATATATATTCTAACCATTTTAAAATATTCTAATATTAGTTCAAATAATGTTAAATATGTCTAATAGTCTAATACTTCTAATATATTCTAATAATAAATTTAGTGATGTGGAAGATGTTTAATATATTCTAGTAATTCTTCCAATAATGTGGAGGATGACTAATATATTGTAATAATCTTAATATGTTATAATAATCACTCTAATAATGTTGAATATATGTATTATATTATAATAATAGTTTCAATATTATGGAAGATGTCTAGTATATTTTAATAATTCTAATAATATCTATAATTATTATGTCTAATATACTCTATTAAAAATTCAAATATTAAAGCTATCTAATATAGTCTAATAATTCTAATATATTCTAATAATAAGTTCAGTTATGTGGAGGATGCTTAATATATTCTAATAATTCTAATAATTAGTCCATTAATGTGGAAGCTAATATGTTCTTATAATTCTAATATATTCTAGTAATAATTTCAGTAAGGTTGATATCCAATCTATTCTATTAATAATTCTAATAATAATATTAAATAAGTCTAATATAGTCTAATAATTCTAATACATTCGATTAATAATTCCAATAGTGTTGAAGATGCCTCATATAGTTTAATAGCAATTTCAGTGATGTAGAAGATGTCTCACATATTCTAATAATAATTTCAATAGTGTTTGTGATGTTCGCTGCAGGGTGTGTGTGTGGGGGGACTATTTAACCTTTAAAAGCCTTTTCTGCCCCAAACTCTATTCCATGATTTTACGATGTTACGCCTCAAACCCTCTCGCTGTAGCACTAGACCACCACAGCCCCCACACAAAAGTGGCTTTTTCTCCGACATTTACTTATTTTTGGTACTTCGGCGAATTTTCACGCCCTGAGGCGCCGCCGCCCCCCCCACTCCCCTCACAGCGCGGGTGCCGCGTTTGACCCCCTCCCTCAGGGCAGGACCCATTCATTACACACAGAATTTATTGCAAGCATCGCTTATTACACACATAATTCATTGCAAACACCGTTTATCACAAACGTACTTTACTACAAATATAATTTATTACAAATATAGCGCGTAACCCGTGGCTGCACAGCGGCGCCAGGGGGCGGCGCAGCGCTGAGGGAGCGCCATGGCCACTGCCCGCCCCGGAAGGCGAAGCGGCGCCGAGGCCGTTCCGGGTCGGGCAGCGGCCATTGCCCGGTGACCGAGAGGACACTGCGGCCATGGGGAAGCACTTCGGGAACCTGGCCCGGGTGCGACATGTCATCACCTACAGCCTCTCGCCCTTCGAGCAGCGCGCCATCCCCAACATCTTCTCGCACGGCCTCCCCAACGTGATGCGCCGCTTCACCTCCCAGGTGTTGAAGGTGGTGCCCCGTGAGTACAGCGGGGGATTCTCCCCCTTTTTGTGCCCCCTCGGCAGCGTAAATTTGGGGAGGGGGGATGTGGGGCTGGCGGGGAGGATGGCGGGTTTGTGGGACGCTGTGTTTTGTCGCAGGAGGTCAGTGCAGTGCGCAGTGCAGTGTCCCCTCACTGCGGTGGCCCCATATTGTGAATATCCCCTTATTCCAGTGTCCCCTTACTGCAATGTCCCTATATGGCGAATATCCCTTTATTCCAATGCTCCCATATAGCAGTGTCCCGTTACAGAAGTTTCCCCTCATTGCATCGAATGTCCCCTTGTTGTGAATGTCCCCCTATTGCAGTGTCCTCTCATTCCTGTGTCCCCTCATTGCAGTCTCCTCAATATTGCAGTGTCCTGTTATTGCATTGACCCCTCATTTTAGTGTCCCCTTATTTCAGTGTCCTCTCATTGCAGTGTGCCTATATTGAAAGTGTCTTCTTATTCCAGTGTCCCTTTATTGTGATTGCCCCGTTATAGCAGTGTCCCGTCATTCCCATGTCCTCTGATTGTTCCTGCCCTCTCTCCCTCCCAGCCTTTGCCGTCGGATACCTCATTTATTCCTGGGGGATGGAGGAGTTTGAGCGGCTGAAGAGGAAGAACCCGGCTGACTACGAGCACGACCAGTGACCACATGGCCCCGGAGCTATTCCCGCACTGTTACAGACCTGCTGTGCTTGTTCCCATGGCCAAAAGGGATTAACAGGGAGATAAGTCTTGTCTAATAAATTGTAACTTTGCCCCATGACTTTGTGTGAAATCTCTGTCTTAAGCTGTTTAAGGTGAGGAGCATCAAATCCCTTGTCTGGTTCTCTCTGTACAGGCAGATAATCAGGCTTAAGTTCCATGTGCTCGGATGTTTTTATTGTACAGCACTTCCAGCTTTTGTGATTCCCGTTTCTTTGAAATATTCCTCAATATAAAGTGCAGTGAGGGCTGGTTTGAAATGACAGTTCCTTGTTCTGTTTATTTTCCCATCATTGGCTGCTATTTTTCCTCCAGCCTTGAGATCTGTGAAAAACAAACATTGCCTGATTTGGCATTGATTACAGCTGGATGAGCTAGACAGTGGCTCGGGATTGGGGATGGACCCTGACCTCTCTCTTCACTGGAGCCCTGGCCAGAAGATGAGAGGGAACAGGAACAAGCTGCACCAGGAGAGGTTTCATCTCCATGTAACAAAGGGATTTTTTCCAGTGAGAACAATCAGTCCCTGGAACACCCTGCCCAGGATGAGGGGGAGGCCCAGGGAAAGATTTCAGGAGGTGACTGGCTGGGGTGCCAGGTAACCTCATATGGGCTCCCTTCCCACAAAATGCTGGACTAGCTGATCTATCAAGGTCCTTTCCAACCTGGGCTGTTCTCTGATCCTGTGCTTCTAATTACCTAGTTATATTAATGTTAATTGGGTGATTAACTACACTCTGATATCTGATCATTGTTAATGGGCTGCATTAGAACCTTCTTGAGCACTACGGGGAGAAACATAACTGATAAATGCCTGAAGATGATTAAAAACCAGCTGCAAGTAGTGAAGTCACTTAAATAGGTGACAAATTCACCCCGTGGCTCTGAGGATAGAAACAAGCTCCACTGTTTGAAGTCCAGAACACTTGGCTGGTTCCTTTGTCGGAATTTTTTCCTTCCAGTGTTCCGCTGACTGCCTCAAGCACCCGCCCTACACAGAGCAACACGTTGGTCTCCCTGCTGTGCTATTCCTGTACCTGTACTGGGAGTTTATCTTATCTGCAGGGCAGCAGTGACGTTTACCTGTATGAGTTTCTCCACGTGCTCAGGGCTGGGAGACAAAGATGCTCAGGCTCTCACTTCAGGAAGCTGGGGGGCAAGCAGTTTTAAGAGGTCATTGCTTGAGTATTTTGGGGCTCATAACATATACTTAAAAAGCACGAGACTAAGCTCAGTCTCTTGTGTATCCTCCAAGCACAGCCTGAGGTTGGCATAAACTGCAGGAAAACCAGTTGGCCAGTGCTGCAAGTGTTGGCAAAAATGTTCTGTGCTTAAATGTACCTGCATTTTGGTTCACTGGTATTTTCTAGGCTGCTTAAGCAAGCAGGGAGCAACATCTGGCTGTGAGAGCTGGCAGAAGTGTCTAGAGGCAGATTTATAGGATCACAGAATTGCCTGGGTTGGAAAGGACCTTAAAACTCATGTCATTCCAACACCCTGCCATGGGCAGGAACACCCTGCACTAGACCAGGTTGCTCCAAGCCCCATTCAGCCTTGTCTTGAACACTTCCCAGGATGAGGCACCCATAGCTTCTCTGGGAAACCTGTGCCAGGGCCTCACCACCCTCACAGAGAAGAATTTCTTCCTAACATCCAATCTAACCCTTCCCTCTGTCAGTGTGAAGCCATTTCCCCTTGTCCTGTCAGTGTCTGCCTGTGTGAAGTATCTCTCCCCCTTGTTTTTACAAGCCCCCTTAAACCACTGGAAGGAGATACTTAATTCAGAACTTTCTGTCCTGCCCATCGAGCCTCCGAGAGCCCTGGAGCAGCTGCTGGGTGGTCTCAGTGACAGCCCCTGCGAAGTTCTGCTCAGTAAACATTTAGTTTTCACTGTGTTGTCACACAGGTCTGCTGAAGGCCAGCACTCCCTGGGGCTCTCACGAGGTCCCTGCCCCTGCTGAACTGTGTCTGGACCAGGTGCCAGACAAATGTAAATGGGGGCACCTGCACGGCGGCCACGTGCTGGCCCCGGGGTGGCTCAGCCCCGTGCCAGGGTCAGCCCTGAGCTGCGGGGTCAGCCCACAGCTCCAGTCCAGGCCTCTGCCCCTCCTGCTCCTCCACCTGTTGCTACCCTGCCCAGCCACCCTCTGACCCCTCCAAGCCAACCTCCCCCTCAGACACAGGCCCTGTTTCCTGCAGGGATGGTTCCCCCTGGAGCCGTGGCATTGGCAGTTCTGTCCCTGGGCATTTCAGAATCTGAACAAGGCACTCAAAAATTTTTCAGTTGTTGGTTTATTTTCGTCCTCCCTTTGGTAACTATTAGAAGTGGCAACAGAGCAACATCTCTTTTCTCACATCTCTGCTGTGGGTTCTTACCAGCCTCCAGAACTTGTGGGGATGGAAACAACTGACTCAGTTTTGCCCTTTTGTTGCCAGTTTCTTGCACAGTTTGCTGCCTGACAGGCACATGTTGATGCTATTAGTGACCCAGGAGGACACACAACAATTTTGATGTATCATCACAAAGTACCAGCCTTACCCAGCCAAAAAAGCTGAGAGATGATGACTTACAGAGGGCTCTGCTGTCATTCCAAATCCTGTGCTTCCATGGATGAACTCAGGGCTACTGCTGCTGTCTTGTTCTCCTTTCTCTGTTCTACACTAGCGCCTAGTGGAAATAGCAGAAATTAGAACTCAGATGCATGTAAAGGAAGGATTTAATGGGAAAAATAATTGGGAAATTCCCAGCCAAATGTAAAAGGAACTTTTAAATTCAGCTACTTGACATGCTATGATTTACTGTCCCACTTCCTTCTCGTCATAAAATCCAGGAAGGAGAAATAATGAAAAATTTTGCTTCCTCCTCCCAGAGAAGCAAGACAAACAGGGCAGAGGAAGGAGTGTAAGAACCACCTTAGGAAAGGAAGAGATAATCCAATATTGGTTGTAGACAGTATACTGATTTTAAATAAAAAGGGGGGTTATTATTTATTCATAAAAAACGGGGAAGGTTTTTTATTTAATCCCAGTGAAATTTGGGCTAAGGGGTAATCATCTGACAGACAGCATGGCATTATCTTAATCTAAGTCACTCGCCTTCCACGCTGGCACTTGTGCCTTCATATTAAGCAATCACAGAAATAGAGCCTGTGACATCCAGTATTTACAATTTAGCTATAAGATAGTTCACTATTTTATACAATATCTTCCACCTTGAAGTAATTTAAAACGTGTTCCAAAAATCCCACACACTGGCACAATTAAGTTGGAATTCTTTTTATGTCACCCTGCAATCACAAATGTCTTGACCTGACAGATTTGGGGCACATGGGACAGATGTGAGAGCCAGACAGAACCACAAACTGGTTTGGGTTGGAAGGGACCTTAAAGCTCATCCAGTTCCACTCCCTGCCATGAGCAGGGACACCTTCCACTAGACCAGGTTGCTCCGAGCCCAATCCAACAAGATACACCAGATCTCACAGATGAGGAGACACAAACACTGGGACAAGTGGGAGAATTGTGTAAGTGGAGGATGACAGAGGACATGAGAGGTAACAGCTCTGCTCAAACACTCTTTTCTCTGCTGCTGCAATCTCAGTCCACAATGGAAAAAAATGAAATTCCTCTTAATGACAAACAGCCCATCCACATCCATGGGAGCTGCTGGCACCGTTTGGAAGCCCGATGGTGAGTGACAGGCACAGAGACAGAGACAGCTCATCTAAGGAACCACAGTCCTGCCACATGGAGCACCTCAGTTCCAGACAGCCCTCGAGCAGCTTCTTCCAGTATCAGTTTGGAGATGATTATCTTTAACACACCTTAGGACTCCTGAGAGAAGAGCTCTATGAGTTACTGCACATTTTACATTCCCAGACCCATCTGAGAAGTGTTACACCTGCTTTTTGAGCATCATATGCCTGGAAAGGAAGGTTAAGCAATTTTCTTACGGTTCTTTCCTGTACCAAGAGTGAGAAGCAGAATCAAAAGCACAATCCTCTGCTCCAAATAAGCTTGGCAAGACAACACCCTGGCTGGCAAACTCAGAGCAGCACACACTGAGTGGCATAGATGTTAAATAAGGTTATGGCTTTCAATCTTGACCATAATAATTTGGGCCAACCCCCCTTTTGGATGCAAATAGACCATGGAGTTCTGGTAACATATTAGGTAGGATTTAAAAAAAGGAACAGTTGGCACAATGGGTAAGGTGACCAGACAAAGTACAAGTGGAAGGGGAGTAAATTATTAGCTCAAGAGACAGGCCTTGAACCAGATCACTTCAGCAGATGTAGACTTAGCAATTCCCTCTTGCTCCAAACCGAACTTTGTTCCTGTAATAACTGGCAGTTGATGTAACGATAAGAGAATGAAGTCTATAAAAATCTAGCTGAAAGCCTGGGAAGTTCTCACTAGAGTTCTTCCTGCCTCCTCCGCCCACGGCTGGTCGAAGTGACAACTCACGCTGCGAAGATGCACTGGTGGAAAATGATGGCAGTCCTTTTGCTCTGCTCACTGCTGCTCAGCCAGGTGAGACAACTATTGAAATACAGCTACTGAAATAAACAATTAGAAATACACTATTTAAAGAGCCAATTCAAAGGATAGGTAGTTAATGAAAGCTGCTATGATTTGGATGGAGAGCTGGCTGGAGTTAGAGGTGACAGTAGAGCTTTTTTAGAGGATTCAATGTCATAAAAATGAAGAGTAAATGCCTAGTGAATATTGGGCTACTCTGAGCCATAACTTAGCAAGCGATTCTGCCTTTCCTCCCAAGATTAAAAAACATTGTTAATTTTGGTATTTAGTTCTTTGAGGGCGGGCTACAAGCAATTAACAGAGTAAGCTACGATCTGAAAACCAGAAACATTTCAAGCGCTTCACTTAATTTTAAGACAATTGACCTCAGCATCAGAGCAACCACCTGCAGGTGCCTCATGTGCTGACAGTCACCCTGGCTCTGTTTCAGGCACAGGGTGCATCCCTGCCCCAGACACGGGTGCCACGGCAGCGGCGGATGACGCCCTTCTGGAGAGGAGTGTCCCTGAGACCCATCGGAGCCTCCTGCAGGGACAACAGCGAGTGCATCACCATGCTCTGCAGGTAACTCAGCCTGGCCATGGCAACCCTTAATACTGTGTGATGGAAAGGAAGTTCACGCTTCGTCTCACCCAAACGGGATCCAGAGTTCACAAAAAAAGATACCAGGAACAGGGATGGGGCAACAGACTCAGACTCTTTTGTAAGCAGTGCAAACAGAGCAGAGTCCAAGCTCCTTGACTGCCAGTCTTAGTCCTTTCACTGCAACCCCAAATAACCTGGCTTTGCAAAAAGGAACAGAGGACTCCAGACAGCTTTTAGGTAACCACAGTCCTTAAAATTAATCCTTCCTAAAGCCAATGCTGTTCACTTTAAAGCATGTATTAATTAAAAGTAAAAAACCATGTATTACATCTTACCCTAAATTAACCACTTTAAGGTGCTTACTGAGCTCATAGTTTAAAAGACAACAATATCAAACACCACTGAGTTCTCATGAACACTAGATGTGACCAAATTGTCCAACTACTATAGTTGAATACATAAATTGAATAGTTAAAATTTCTACTTAGTGACTGAAAGGTGATTTTGTGTGGTACCTGCTGTACATATATATACCAGAAATCACAAACAATGTAGAACATAACCACTTTCTACTATATGTAAATAGGAGAAATGGATAAATATAACCTATTATTAATAAATATGATTATAAATAAGATTATTTCATATTCTATTATAAATAAATAAGATTAAAAATAAATAGTACAGGGTGGTTGGGCTGTATGCTGTGTTTGAAATGAATCATTAGGTTCTGCTGATTCCCAGAACTGAGCTGGACCAGCAACTACAGGAAGGTACAGACAGAACAGGACCCTGTGGACAGGACTGCAGTTCTGTACCATTTCTACACTGCACCTGATCCTACAGCCCTGGGCAACACACATTTTGGAGTTACGATGTAAAGCTAAAAACAGAAAATGAATCAAGACAAATTGAGTAGAGTTAGAGGTGAACACAGTGTGCAGGGCTACCTGAGCTGGACCACTGCTGGAACACCTGGGCATGGGGAGCACTGCCAAGGATGTACCTGGGATACCTGTCTGAGCCCAGCTCAGTGGCAGCCCCAGCTCTCAGTGCCTCATGATGGTTTTTTTTTCCAGGAAGAACCGCTGCCTCCTCACCACGGCCTCGGCATGAGCTCATGATGACAACACCCCTCACTGTTACTGCTGACGATGCTCCACACACTTGGGACATATTTATTGACTGCTCAGGAGCTGGACAGTGATTCAAGCAATCAAATATAAACCATATTTAATATTTCTGTCACATGTGCTGATAAAAGGACTTCAAGAGCTCAAGACCATCTCCTGCCGTGGTTGCGCTCTGTGCCTCAGGATGCCTCTGGCCAAGCTCAATAAAAGGGCTCTGCCTCTCCTGCTCGTTTGGGTTTTTTTGTAATGGTTCATATTATTTATTTGAAGGTGTGAATTAAATTATATATTCAGCAAACCACCTTGGTTTTCCTTGTATCCTGTGAGCAGAGTGGACGGTGAGTGCAGAGCTGGTGCTCAAATCCAGCTGGACCTTTATCCTTCCACCTGGCAGGAGCATAAAGTAGATCAGGCTCCATCTCCTCAGTCTGACAGATGAACTCTTATCAGTGCTCAGATAAAGGCCTGCTAGAAAGAGGGAGCCAAACTGATAATACTGATACCAATTTCAATATCCCAAATATATCCAGTGATAACTGGAAGGAAAACTATTTACTCTTAATTACTTCTAATCAAATTTACTTAAATACATGTCCTAGACTGACTTTTGCCACTGACCTTACCTCCTATTTTAAAATAAATTGATCAAAATGCTGTTTTGAGCTGCTGGATGTTAATTCAGAGGGCTGAAACACAAAGCAAAGCACTTTGGATTAAATAAGAACACACTGGATGCTGCTCTCCTTTTGTTACACAGAGCACTAGGATCAGAAAAAGAGAGAAGTCTGCCTAAAAATGCACTTCCAGGGAAAACACCCAGAAAACAGATACAAGCACAGGGGATTGGAAGTTTAATACAGAAAATCTATTTGATATTTATTAAACTTAGTTTCTCCAGTTACAGTTTTGCATTGTACAAAGCATTTTAATGACACAGTAGTTAAAAAGATCTTTACAAATTGAAATGTGATACCCTTTTCTCCAAATATTTTAATTGCCATAAATTTGTTTAAAAATACACATTAAACGCATGTTTCAGACACTAAACTTTCTATAATCTCAATACCACAAAATACATAGAATATACTATACAGATGTGGAAAAAATCTAGTTAGTATATAATACTTTGCTCACCATTAACAGCTTTATTACGTGAAATGCACATACTGACTTAGAAATCCTAATTTTGAGCCCCAAAGTACCCTTTGAAATTTCAAATGTATTGCAACAAATAAAATCACAGTTTGTTTATTTTTTTCAGGTTTTGGTTGAAGACAGATGCCCAAATCTTTTGATAGAAAACAAAATGTAACACATGGACTTGTCATGTACAAAGCATAAAACAGAGACATCCCATTAGTTACTAACAGTACCTTTCTGTAGGATTAATCAGGGCTTCATTTATAAGTGACAGGTTAAAAGTTACCTCCCCCCCCCCCATCCCTCCCCCAAAAGAAAAACCCCTTCTTCACCAAATAATAATTTCAAATAAGATAAAGGATTTTTAATAAATATATAAGCACTTTATCCTCCATATACAAAATTTTTTTAAAACAATTTAAAAGGGGGACCAGATACAAATGTCAGGAACTGTGCTTGAAGAGTCATTCCTGGTCCTTAGAGTTGAGTTTGGGATGTGGAATGCCAAGGCAGCCCCAAGGAGCTGCTGCAGCAGCACTGTGCCCCCAGCTCCACCACAGGAGGGTTGCATATAAAACTGAAGACAGGGAACACTGCATTGCCATTTTCCTACATTGGCTGGAGTAACACCAGGAATGGGCACATTTCCATGAAGTTTCCAGGTGAAATAAAACAGGTGAAGCATGGACATACAGACAGCCCAGCTCACTCCATGCTGCAGCACAGCAGCTGGAATTGCTCAGACAGTGGACTGAGGGACACTCGGCTGAGCCGGTGGCTCTGGAGGGTCCAAGGGGAGCCCAGCTCTGCCACACTCCCCCTGAGAGCAATTCCTGATGGCACAGGTGCCCCTTCCTTCCCTGCCTTCCCCTTCCAAATGGCACCACAGACCAGCATCAGAGCTGGACACACCACGATTCCCCACTGACAACTTTCCTACTTGGGAAACCCTCTCCTGGAATAGCTCTGGCTCTGTGTGAGTTGGCGAGCAAAAGCTCTGGCTCCTCTCTGTACTTTAAGATGTCTGGCACTAACTTTGTTGCTTGGAAACACAGGGTTTTCCGTAACACTGACACATCAGATGGAGAAATTTAAACCCTGACTGAAGGATTTGTCGGAAAGGTAAGAATTTGGAAGTTGTTTACTCCCCAATGGGTAATTCAAACTTGACTTGCTCAGGCCCTTGTGGATCTGCCTCAATAGAAACACTGCAGTGACAGCAAAGATCTGTTCAGAAAATTACATTAAATACAACAAAGGTAGTTTCTCTCTCTCTTTCCAGCAGTTTGCCATTTGGGCAAACTCCATAATTCTCTGCCTACGGCTTTATTTTACTTGCCCCAGGCAAGTGCTACATCATTCCCATAAATTCTGACTCTCTGTGTGTAGGGGCCATTCATAAATACATTTCAGGGCATTTTTTGTTACCACAGCAATCAAGCCTCAGCAATCTAAAGGAATATACATTGCACTCCTGGATAATATGCAATATTTATCACCAATAAGATGGTGACTCAGCACTCAATAAATAATATATCAATATAGTCAGTTGCACCATAATCTAAAAACAAGTATAACATATACTTTGGACAGACTGAGTCATATATATATACATATATATTAAAAGACACATACAATACAAATTGCATACTGCCATCGAAAGCCAAGGAGAGCCATCCGCCCGCTCTGCTTTATGGCTACGAGATTCAAATCAAAACAAAACTCTCGGGCTGGTTTACTCTGGTGTCCTGAAGATTTGTTTGGAATTATAAATGGTTGCACCTTATCACCTGGAACCTGCAAGTCTGAGAGCAAAGTCAAACAGCTGAGCAAGCCTAGTCTGATTGAGCCATTCTTAAGATTCACCAACTGGGACCACGATCAGCGAGGGAATTAAGATTACGGTGTTGATATGTATTAATACACACCTGTCCAGGGAATGATTTGGGAAGCCAGAAGCTGGGGAGTCCCTCCTTAGTCACCACTGAGATGGGTGTCGGTGCTGCAGTGACCTGCACTCCCACTGTGGTGCTGGAGGTGTGGAAGGACAGGAACAGACCCTCCCCTCACTTGGGCAGAGGGATTGAAACCTAGGACATACTTGTTTATTTTTTTTGGCTATGAGATCTGACTAAGTTCATAACTTTCCTCTTGGAAACAATGGTGGATCCCAAATTAACATATGCTTTTGGAATTGTGAAGGTTAAACTGATCTGTTTGCAACAGCCCCAGATGCACAAGGCATTTCTGATCCATTACCAAGCCCGCCGCAGATCTCCTGCACCAACAGGACACATGGGACAGCACTCCAGAGGATATTCCACCACGGAGCACCCTGTTCAGCTGGGACACTTCCAACCAGCTCAGGTCCACATTTTGACATGATGCAAAAAGCCTCCTGTTCATTTGAAGACAATTTCTAAGATCCAATGATCTGGGGATAAGCGATGCATTTTTAGGAGACCAATTTAGCATGACACCAAAAGGTATTTGTGGGACTCTAGTTAAGGAAAAAAAATTCCCAGAGATGAGACCATTCCTGCTGAGAGCAATGGTGACTGTGCACAAAGGAGCAAGCCAAGAACAGCCATGCTGGCTAGTGCAGCACTACACACAAAACCAACCATGAACGCAACTTCTACAAAGGTATTTCTACAGCGTCAGAGGTGTGCGAGGCACTTCAGAGTAGGAAAGGAAACACAGCTGACAGTGTCCCATGCCCACGACAGGGAGTTTGAGGGTACAGAGTTCTGTCTCCAACAGCAAAGACTAACAGAAACGTGACCTTGCACAGTGATTCCATAAAAAGGATGCTCCAACAGACCTGAAGAGTCAATTCAGCGACCAGGGAAAACCACAGGTCTGTTACTCAATGTATCAATCCGGACGTAGCAAAGCTTTTCTGGAAGTACAAAACACGCTGGGACGCAAAGGAAGCTCTACGAATATGCAGCTACCTTGTAGTAGGTTACTAATTTGCAAAACTTCTAAACTCTTAAAGCCCATAGGACATACTGCAGTACTAAGGAGCGTAGAATTCTATTCCTTCTCTCGAGGTTGCCGTGATTTTGGCACTTAACTACACCTACACAAAAAATTTAGTGCAATAATTTTCCTGAACATGCACGTTCATATCTGGTACAGAATAAAGGGTTCAATGGGAGAGAAAACAAAGCAGCATTCCACAATCTCACTCCAAAGGATTCAGAGTTGGACTCTTGGAAAGGAGACCACCGCGATGAGTCAGTTTGTGTGACAGACACTGGGACTTGGAAAAAGGAAATGGAATTTTACCCAAGTACTGCAGAAGACCACTGCATACAGTATACCTGGTCCTGCTGTAAAACATCTTGTAAACAGTTCATAAAATCTTCATCTAAAAGTAAGGCATAAGGCACACCAGACATGTTGGGGGCACTAAGCAATACTGAAAGCAGTAGCATTTGAAACCTTTTACTCAGACAAGCACCTCATGTGAAAGGTACTTTGGTTTGCACTCTGAGAGCAGCCAACTGCAACTCCAGAACCATTTGTGTTGCACCGAGTGAATGTTACGCTCCATCAAATGTTAACAGGACCTTCATTACCACGGGGTAAAGCCAAGTTTTAGATCCATTCTGCACCAGAACAGTCGTTTCCCTGCAGGAGCAGGTGAGCTCCCACCCCACGGTGGCTGCAGCACTGCCAGCCTGTAGTGTCCATCACCCAGCACACCCCAAGAAGACAAAATGGACCTCGAGTTCTACTAAAGATTCCTGGTTTCTCAGTCAATGGAAAAGATGCAAATGACAGTTCTGGTAGGAATTTAACTACTGTTGGGTTTTAACCACAAAGTTCACCCATTTTGTAAGTGTCAAAAAGTGACAAGCACGGAAACAAAAGGTATTTTAAATGAAGAGATGCAAAAAAGCACAAGATTGTCCTTTTCCAAAGCCTTTCCTGTTTGCATCGCACCCATCGGACTGAAGGTCATTCCTACACCATTACTTGGATGTTACATTAAATGCAAATTACTGTAATGTTTTGTGATTGTTATAGTGTTAATCGATGGCTTGAAACTGCCTTGAAAACAATCCAAGTCAGATCCAGCTAAATATTTCTCCATATAAATTTCTTTATAATTCATTTAAATGAAGTATCTCAATACGTAGAAGAATATCTGGAACTTTTCTATTTAGTACAAATTCTGCAATAATAAATCTGTAGTTGTCATTTATTAGTCGACTCATAGGCATTAGGCATGAGAAGTATGGTGTCCCTACACGTTAGAACCTATCAACCCTAGTTCCTTTTACAGGCTCTATCACCACAAGACATTACAGAGTAACAAAGCTCACAAAGTACTTAAATAAAGTGTCTAGGTTTAATTTCTAAGTACTCAAAAGGGAAAATTTAGGGAAGAAGAAATAGCTAAAACCAGCCCCCAATGGGGCTTTTCAAAATTAAAATTACAAAAATTAAAATAAATAGGATTTAAACTGACTATTTGTGTATTGTGACTGGAATTCCAATGATCTATCCATGACAGATCAGCAAAACTACAACTTTCATGTAGCAAATTTTAAAATATTTAAATAACTTAAACCGGGAATACTGAAGAAGTCCATGAACCAGCTGATTTGGGGTTAAACACAAAACACAAATGAGGATGGGAGACATGGGAAAGCATTCCTTGCTCTTAGTGTCAACTAAGCAATGTGTTATGGCAGTCTTCCTTATTGACATGACACAGTGTTGTGGAGAGAAATCAGAGGCAGCGAGAAAAATGGGTTTGATTTTGGGTTCCTTCAGTTCCAGCCTCACTTGGCATCGAGGCGCAGCCAGTGCAGGCCCTGCCGGGTGTAACGCACCAGCTCGGTCATGATGCTCGTGTTAAAAACCAGAGGGCCCATAACTTTATCCAGTTCAGCAAAGAACTCTAAAACAACAGAAACACGAGTTAAATAAGCACATTTTGGAATATGGGACATACGACACCCAACCGCCCTGTATTTTTTCAGCGTGAAGCTTTTGGATTAAGAGGAAACAGGAGTGATGAGAGATGGCTGAGTGGTGGAAGAGTAAAGGAAAAAAGGTTTTTCCTAATAAATTTCTTTACTCTTTTGCAGAAGACTGGTTGGAAATGATAAGACTATTAAACTATTGCCAAACTTCCTTGGCTTTCCCCCTCAAACGTGTACTTCACTTTAGAATTTCAGAATGGGAAATACACCAAGTTCCTCTTCCTACACTGAACAATTTACAGGAAATGCAACTAAGATTTTTACATCTCCAACACCACCTTGACAACCACAACACCCAGCTCAGGTAATCCCTTCAATCCAAGGTGTAACTTTCCACCTTATTTTGCAGAGGACCTGGTTCAGCATCCTGGGCACCATTAACTGCCTCTCTGAAATCAAAAGCCCATGAGTGTTTGCACCCTCTGGAATGCCTGAAGTTATAAAGCACCTGTGTCAGCCCTTACCTTTCTGTTCTCTTGCTAGCTGTTCAGCTTGCTCCCAAATTTCAGTGGCATAGAGGAAGTTGGACGTGACCTGGACGTAGCTGGCAGCCATCTGATGGATCCTCTGCGGGATCGTCACCGAGGACCCGCTCCCTGAAGGATTGGCTGCCCCAGAAGAGTAATTTCCTGAATTCCCTGGAGACAGCTTTGGAGAGACTGGAGACGGCATCCCGACAGGTTTGCTGCTCACCCAAAGGGAAAGATTAAATTGGAAATGCATGAATACACGAACTTTCAACACCTCACGCTGTGAGACACCCTCCAAGACCTCTCTGTCCACACTGAGGGTGTGGGATGATCGAGCACTCCCACTTTACACATCAAAAATCAGGATTTGCCCTACAACAAATTAAATACTCAAGGTAGTAACTGCTGAGGATCCTCCAGCTCTTACTTGTGGCTTACAAAACCCAATTACCAAACATCTTCACCTCTTAGTTCAATAAAATCTTCAATTCATTGTTTGAATAAATTGAACCTTAAAGAATGAAAAAAATTACAACTACCTGGTAACCACACTGCCATAATATTACATTATATAATTACATTATATAATATTACTGCACATAACACAATGGAAATCTGAAATGCCCTCCTAAAACTCATTGAAAGATTTATCAAAGGTCCATTTTGGGGTTTAAAACAACAGAAGTAAATTGCTAAACTAGGGGACAGACAATGCTGCAAGTACTTGTAACCATTTGGACTTGTAGCACTAATAAAGCTCTTGTTTCGGGGGGAGAAGTACTAAAGTAAACAACAAAACTCAATGAGATAAGTAACTTGTGGGTTAATGAGCCTTTGTTTGCCTGACAAATCCTGCACAGCAACATCACCAGCAGCAGTCTCTGTTCTCAGAATAATTACACAAAAAATAAATCAAAATCCACACCCTTAGAACTATTACCCCAAAAGCTGCTCTCTGAACACCTCAGGCACACGGGAATACAGAAAATGTGCCAGAAGTTGAGAAATACAGGTAACAGCTTTTACTACTCACCTTCCCATACCAGGTGATGGTGCTTGAGAATTATTGTAGCAATTCTGTTTGGAGAAAAAGACATTTGTCACCTGATTTATGTTTATAATTTATCTAGTTACATTTTATCTGGTTATTTACTTGGTTATTTTTGACAAAATTGATTTTTGTAGTTTTTCTTTTAAGCAACATTTTCAATAATATCACAGTATTTATCAACCGAAATTTGGGAAAAGATCCTTTTTTACTAATGACTTAAGACATGAATTAAGGGGTTATTTCAGCCACACAGAGAAGTACTGGAGTGGTCCTCTGCTCTAACCATTAGATACCACTGTCCCTTACGGGAACATTTTGGTTTTTTCAGCCTTTTAACAGGATGAAATCTGTTACTACTGGCATTGAACAATTAAAAGATCTCCCAAATTTATTAAAGAAGACAAAATTAACAGAGAGTTAACATGCCCAGACCAGCATGGTTATGACATCCAAGCTGTCTCTGCCCAGCTTTAAACTACTCAACTTTAATATACTTTCAAGGTTCAGTTCTAAATGGGTATATTCCAAGTTCACGTGTAGAGGTCTGAAAATTGGATCTGGGAATTTTAAATGATGTAGAGCTTTAATATCATTAGGTTTTAATATTCTAAGAAAATACACCTGCAATTACCTTCAGATGTTCAGTCAGAGTTTTTGAGTATTTCAATGCACTTTCCTTTTTCAGTTTGAAAAGCCTCAGGTACAGCAGAGCTTGGCACCGAAGGCTGACCAAAGACAGGACAAAAAACAGTCAAGGTCAGGTTTAGCATAACTGAGTGAGTTTCAAAAATCTAACAACTGTGCTCCTAAAGTTTTCTCTACCAACTCAACCAAGAAAATCCACAACTACCTTTAAATTCTCAAGGAAACTGAAACAGCTTCATAAGCCTCAAGCTGAAACTTTACCTTTCAGTGATTTTGCTGATATAATGAGCTTGGGAGACAATACAGTGATTTCCTAGACAAGGGTTTCTTTTATTTTTCACCTGTGTCAGGACATTCTCAGCACTCTGCCACAGCCTCCCCTTTCCCTTCCCCCTGAACTAAGGGGTTCTGGTCCTCCATACCTGTTGCAGACATTCCATTAAAACCTACAGGGCTACTGACAGTTCTTACAGCCAGTCCAAATGGTGACTTATCCCTGGAAGTGCACAGGATGGACCCCCATCCTCTCTGCTGTTACTCCTCAGTGTTCCAAAGACTTGATCTTCATGAACATCCCCTCTGCCCCCATTAATCTTTATAAGCATAAATCTTTATGTACACCCAAGTGAAAACCTCATGTATTTGGTTCAGAAACACCCCAGAGCTCAGTGGAACACAGCACTTCATGCAGATAAAACATGTGAAATCCATCAGGGCACTGTATGAAGTGCAGAACACACGTACCAAAGCACCGCCAGCCTTTTGTCCGCAGCCGTCGCATCCGGTGCCAAGTAATTCTTCAGTTTCATAGTGTATCTGCAAACAAAGGCATCAAGTGAACCACAAAATAAAAATTACAGTTTCATTTACTGATCACAAAACACTTGACACGCTTATGAATTTCTGATTTCAACTGTCTTCACCGTTTCAGGAACCTCTCTCAGACGCTAAACAAAACACTAACTGGGCAGTAACCAGAATTATTTTGCTTCTCGTGGGTTACTCGTTGTAGAGAGACTTCAAGAGCCTTAGCAGAAACCATCTCAGCCTTCATGGAAACACTTCAAACCTCAGCCACTGGAACGAACTGGTCAGTGATCCAGTTTTAGTGGGGAATGACAACACATCTCAAAAGCTGGTGGCCAAACCTCAGTCCATCTGACAGCTCTGATTCCCAGGCCCCTTCCCCACCCACTTGCCTTTGTATGTGCTTTGCAATGCTTACTTGATTAATTCCACAGTTTCTGAATACATAGGGAACGGGGACTTGGATTCCTGAGCATTTTTCTCCAATGCATTCCCACACTCAATGAAGGACACGACAGCATCCAGGTAGTACACGGCCTTCTCAAACCTGTCCGACTGCGGAGAGGGGAGAGACACTTTTAGGGATGAAAAGCAGAGAGAAGTACAGGAAAGTTCCAGTACAGAAGGGCAGCAAAATGGCAAAGACAGCAAACCAACCCCAGGATAACGTGCAAACACCGGGTAATGCTGGAGATTAACTTACCAAAGCATCTGCATTGTGTTTCAGTTTCTTTGCTTCTTGCAAATAATGATCAGCTGAGTAAGTCCTGCAAGAGAGGACATGGATTTAGGGACTCAGCCCCACCCATATTTCATGGCCTTTTATTACTGAAGCTTCTTGGTGCTGCCAAATTTCAGATTTTTTTCTGTTCCTAACTCAAGCAACACAATGATAAAACTGTTTAAATAGTTTCAAAATAGTTCTCTAGTTTCAGGTAATTCAAAAAGTATTTCAAGCAAGTTGAATTACCACACATGAATTAGTTCAATTTACTGTATTTGATAGCCAAACAAACCAAACACTTGACCAACAACAAGGGCAGGGGAAGGAAAAAACCCACAAAATTTGAGGACAAATTAAACCAGCACCATCAGGACTTACATTGCTAAGGGTGTGAAATATATAAAATTATGACAGAATAAATCAAGATGCATTCAGGTGTTAATTGCCTTTGCTTTGCCACCTGGGACAATCAGTGCTAAACGATTTCCTCAACTAGATGAGCACAAGGAATCATAAAAGTGTAATGATTCATTTCAACGCATTAACATATTCCGTACAAGTTGATTAAAGTTTGCAATAAATTATCCCATCCATCCTATCTTACTTGTCAAAGAATTAAAGATATTTGAAATGAACATTTTTACCAGACCCCTTACAGGAAATTGATGTCATTACAAAGCAACAGTTAATATTAACAAGATTCTATAACTGTAAAATTGTTTCAATCAGTTCTAATCTGATGAAATCCTAAAATGGCTCCATTATAACCACAAGGTTAGAACATGTCACAATTACTGTTCCTTGCAGTAGCCTCTCCTTATGGCTTCCTATACTTCCATACAATTTCAGGTTTAAATTTTTTAATAAGTTTGATCTTATCTCAATTTCTTGGCTCTGTTTTATCTTGGGATAATCACAAAATCCCCATAAACTATTTTGTCCTAAATGATTGTGTATCCTAACCATCATATGTGCTCAACTTTTTTCTATTTCTAAAGAGCTTTTAACCAGAAAGCTACTATTATATTTGGTCCAAACATAATTTCATCTGTAGAATGAATTTAAAGAAGTGCTTTCAGAGTAAACCTTGTGCTGAGATCTGAGTTGGCACAAATGAAACCTGAAGTCTGCACAAGATGAAGAAGTATTTGTTTTATTTTCCTTTCAAGGTATTTTCTTTGACAAAGAGCTTTCATGTCATCTTTTGTGAAGCAAAATGACAAGTCTTCTCTGTGAGGAGCTGGCTGTGCTTGAGATCTGCAGCCACAGAGAGGGAAAGGCAATTTTCTGTTCTTACCTATCATCAAAAATGAGCTTTGCTCTCCTTGACTTTGTACTTTCCGTAGCCTGAGCAGAGGCAGGAGGGCAGCTGGAGGAATTGTTCACAATCTTTTCCTGAAAGGGAAATCAATGCCAAATAATACATTTAAAGAACAGTTAAATTTCCTCTGCCTTCAAGAGAAGCATTTGTTGTGTAAATTTCTCCCCTGACTTCACACATTCTATGCAACAAGGACAATTTGCAGCTGCCTGAGCTGCCACTGAGCACAGGGAATAAATAATCAACTTCCAGGAGGCTCCCACCTAATGCTGGCACAGAGCAGACACCAGGCTGGAATGGAGCTCCTCACTCCAACCCTCTCCATCAGAGGGAAGGACGCAGCCAAGGCTTTCTAAACACACTTAGATCCAGGGAATTCCTCCCTCAATCTCCCATGTCACTGTTTCTAAATTTTGTTCTTCCACTCTAACAAAGAGATGATGAGGATTTTGATTTCTCATTTCTATAAACAACACACTCTGCTGAATGCATTTGCCTTGAAAAAAACCCCACAGGAGTAGGTACTACTCTGAGAAAGGTATGAGTAAGCACAGCTGAAGTATAACATGATAAACATATCACAAATGTACAATTGGCTTTGGGACATTTATATTTTTAAATTCCATCACATCTAAATATCTTCCCAACCTAAATCTCTTAAAAACCATTTTCTGCACCATCTTCATAACCATGTTTTTTCCCCCCAACCACAGAGAACACTGCAAATTCCTGAGCTGGAGTTAAAATTATCTTTCTGAGCTCTTACAATGTCATAAAATGAGAGCTACAGCTTCCCAGCCCAGTACTGAGCATGGACCAAGCTCCTGCTCTCCTGCAAAATCAGGACAAGTTCTATATCTGCTCTGAGGAGACAAGAGCAACTTCATTGTTCCATTTACCAGTGTGTAGACAGCTTTCTATTTGGTTAATTTCATTAACCCATTAATACACAGGCAGCATCAGTCACCAGGAGATGACTAAGACTAAACTAATTTCATTAATTAACAGAAGAATTTGCAGGATAATCTTTAGTATTCCACCTCTCCTCCAAAGTGTTTTCTAACTTATGGATTTCCAAGGCACCTAAGCACTATGACACGAAACAATGCATACCTAATATTAATTACATTTAAACTCGAACTAAAAACTGTTCAGATCAAACTGCAGAGCAAAGGAGGAGGTTTAAGGCATGTACAGAGTCAGCCCTTTACCTTGGCTTCCTTGGCACTACTGGAACCCTTCCCCTCTGTCTTCTTCTGCTTGGAAGAGGAGCTGCTTTTGCTGCCACTGCTGCTTTCCTTGCCTGGGTTGCTGCTGGATTTTAAGGATGATGACTGACTGACCGTCCTCTTCCGGGACCCGTGTTCCTGCTTGGAATCTTTCTGTAGGACTGGGGCAGCAGGAGATGGCAGTAAATCCTTCTCTTTAACAGCACTTGGCTTTGAAGACCTGCACGAAAGGAACAAATTCAGGATTAGGGTTTCTTTCCTTAAAAAACAAACCCAAAACCAACCCAACAAAAACAACCCAAAAAACCCCAACACACAAAACTTTGATTTTTAACTTTTAAACTGAAAAACCCTTGTTTTTTAAACAAGACTTGGCAAACCAGCTACGGAGAAAAGGAGAATAATTTTGGAGAATAAGTCTCTTCAAAGCCAGATTGAACTCGTTTTCACCATTTTATTTGTTCTGACCTGAAAACACAGGCAAAACTAGACAAGTTCTAACCATAAAACCACACCCCTACACCAGTTCTTAAAAAAAAACACCCTAAACACTCACAATTTCAGCACTGCAAGCCAATGCCAGCGCCAGGCTGTCTGTGCAGACCAGCCAGCCAACAGCTCCAGGGAAAAGATGCTCCAGATAAATCACTGGAACCCAGGGAATGGGAAAACTTCCTCAGTGCAGCCTTTCAGGACAGTCTTACTTTGGCTGCTGAGGGATGCTGTTGGCTATTCCTGGCTTCCCATAACTATTATTTCTACACATTATTCCTGTAAAATCATAGGGTTTCATTTAATTAAGTGTCCTTCAGAGAACTGCACTGGCAATCAAGGAAATATCAGAAATAGTAGGTGAAAAAGCAAAATCAAGCTAGAAATGTATGCCTTCATTCCACATCTGCTTCCTAACAAACACTAAGACACTGTTTAATTCAGGAGGGGCGAAGAAGAGTTGCAACATCTGATGTGCTGCAGCTTCTCACATATTTGTAATTTGCAATTACTCACTAGAAATATCATCCATGGCACAATTACATCAGTTTTCAATTGCTTGAACTGAAACAGCAGTTTTTAAAAGGCAGTGGAAAAAACTTACTCTTTTCTGTGAATTAACACTGATCAAGAAATAAATCAAATAAATCAACTGCAAAAAGCACGGGAAATTCAGAAATAACATATTAAACTGTTTGCTATTTCCATATTACTTTGCTTTTGGGTCACTCTCTCTTTTCTTTAGCTAAAGTTCCAAGCTAAATTGATAGAGGCTAAATCCATGGATCCAAAGCTCAGTGCCATCAGCTTCCAAGACAAAGTCAGTTGTGTAATTTACTCTCAGTTTACAACCTTGCTAAATGAAGAATTACCAGATTGGGTTAATTTAAAAGCACAGATTTTGCAAGATCAAAAAGCCAGCTGCAGAGCTGCTTTCTAAACCAAAACCAACTCCACTGTGTATTAGAGAAAACCAGGAAGCAATCACCTGACTTCTGTTAAGTAACACAATTGTCTTTGGCCAATGTTTTTGGGTATGAAAATTGATTTCCACCAACTAATATTAGAAACTCTGAAATAAATTTTTTTGAAGGTAAGAAATAATGAAATTTTACTAAATGATTAAGGAAACACTTGGGATAGGGGAGTGGAGAAGAGGGTGCAGGCAGGCACCATCCTCTCCATGACAACCCTGAGCCTTCAGTGTTGGGAACAGCCAAGATACTCACTCCCTACTGCTGGAAGTCTTGTGTCCTGATGGAGCTTTTTCTTCCAGTTTCGTTTTCTTGCTTTCGCTGGCTCTGTTTTCATCCTCATTCTGAGTAAAGCAAACAAGAAATACATCCAGGAAATATCCACTTTTACAGCTTCACTGACAGTGGCAATATTTCACATTAAGAGACCTTATTTAGCAGGTGCTTCACAGTGTGCAGAGTAAAATACACACAGAACACAAAAACATGACCTACAGCATCTAATCCTTACCAAATATTTGACCAGACCCTGATATTGGAAGAAAATGAAAAACCAAGTCTGGCTACTAAACTACAACCTGCATAAAAGCAGTAGCAGCCAAGTTGTTCATTTTAGCACAAATATATTATCATAATGAAATCTGCCAAAGGCTTTGGCAAAGATCAGGAGACAGATTTTATGTTGTAGTGTTTAAAGAGTGTCTTATGAATGCCAGGAAAGGGTAAAAATCTAATCAGTCTATTAAATTAAGCTCGGAGATGTTGAAGACTATATATTTATATAAATTTAATCCTGAAGTCAAAGGATCTTGAAGATGAATTTCGCAAGTGTCTTCATGGAGCACTTGAAGGATCAATACAGTGAACAAATGGAAAATGAGGCCTCAGAGGAAATCCCCTGGTAACACATCCCACATTCAGACCCAAAAGGTTTATGTTTTGTGACACTGATGCTGCAACCCTGAGCCTTGTGACCAAAGAAACACAAGAGCAAACAATGAGTAGACCTGTGGTGCCAGTTGTGTTTGGAGCACTCAAACCTAAAACTGGAGGGACAGGGAAAAGGGGAGTTCTTTATTTGCCTCACACATGATTCCATCCTCTCTGGTGGCACCAGGAAGCCTCACAGTAATCAGAGGCCTCCCAAAAATGAACCACCAGACTGTTTTCTGGGATAAAACCTAAATTAATTGGTCTTACCAAAGCTTTCTGGTTTAGATGTCAGAGCACAGATCTTTAATGCTCTAACTCCAAATGTGTACTGAAAGGTGTAACTGCTCAAAGAAAGAAAAGTCAGTGAATTCAGACCCATTGGAGCATGCAGGTGCATTCTCAGGAACATCAGGAATTATACAGCAACACTTGCAAAAAGTAATTATTCACTGTACTGGTCAGTGTGATCCCCTTTTTACAAAAAACCCTCGTTTTCTGACTTCATTTCTTTAACTATAGAAAACAGGAAACTTAGTTAGGAATAATAGAGGACAAACCTCTGTTTGCAGTTACATGTCAAGTCTCCCAGATGACATTAATTTCAGCAAGTGATCAAGTTTACTTTGGTTGCTCAGTGGGAAAACTGGTTTAACTGAAATTATCTATCCCCTCAAATGACTCTCTGCATGATTTCACAGAATCCTTGGATTGCAGATGTCAACAAAGTCTCACAACCACTGCCAAATCCCTGTCAAAATCAGAGCGAAATCCAGAGTAGCACAGAGATTTCTGAATCCCCAGTCCAGGGTTTCACAGCCCTAAATTCACAGACACCAGATGTTTATAAAAACTGAAAGTGGATCACTCAGTCCATCTGACAGTCCCACGTTTGCTCTGTCCATGTGTTGAAGTTTCTAAAAGCAGTTTAAAATTACACAATCAACTACTTCTGACATATTCCTCCCAAGAGTACTATTCCTCCACTGATTCCTCTCAATTTTACTGCCTCCAGCCACCCTTGCTTTTTACTTATAGTTGAAGACATTATATGCTTTTTCTGAAAAAGATTGAATATTATTATGGAGAGATCCCCTGCTCCCAGTGAAGCAGTACCCCAAGATCATGTTTTCTGCTGCTGCCACACCCAAGGTGCAGTCCTGCCTCATCCCTTATCCTGGCAGTAGCCAATTCCATAGTTCAGGGAGCTGATCGAGATGAAAACTGACTTTTTGGGGTTTTTTTTCCCAGGTGGATTTTCCACTGGATCAGCTGCCTGTGCTGGCCTGCAGGGCATGAGGAGCTGGTGCCAGGTCAAGAGGAAGCAGGAGAGGGCTGGATGCAGAGCTCAGAGGCACAGAATGTGTGTCATCTCCATGAGCTCTGGCTACAGGGCTAACAAACACTGCTACAGGGGTGTCCTTCCTCCAAAAGAAAATCCCAGCAGTCTCTCCCATAAGAGCACAGGGATGATCCATGTGTTCTACACAAACAGGCAGCAAAGCCATTCCTAAATCGCTCAGTTGCTACACTGAGGTGTGATCTGGGTTCAGGGATACACACAATCCACTGTGGGCTGAGGTAACAGGCAAATCTCTCTATGAAATTATCACCTGTTTGTGTTTCCTTTTGCCTTTCGTAGAACTTTTGTCCGACGGCTGTTTCTGGGACTCCCTGGGGTGCTTCTCCGGGGCGCTTTTCTTCTCCACTTTGGGTGCATCAGCATCCTTGTAAGGCTTCCCTGGTATTCGGGATAAGAGGCTCAGGTCAATCTTCACAATGAGTGGGTACCTTTCATCAGGATCACTGAGTGGTGAAAGAAGCTCTTTCTCTTCCATAGGAGAGAACATTCTTTGCCGAAAAAAGCTGTCATCCTCCTCCATGGAAGATTTAACAGGAGTCCTATTGCTCTCAGAGTATTTGGGTGTTTGTGATGAAGGAGGCAGACTCTCATTTTCATCTGAATCAGAGGATGAGGTATCTGTTTCGATGAATTCCCTGGATTTCTGGGCAGATTTGCTTGAAGCCTTGTATTTCTTTTTCTCTGTTGTAGGCCGAGGGGAAGACTTGGGCTCTTTCTTTATATTGGGTTTCCTGGAGCCTTTCGTGGCCGCCTTATGCCTGTTTGAAGGGATATTTGTTGCCATGTCTACTGGGGTTTCACTTTCTATTTTAAGACCTCCTCTAGGCTCTTCCACGGATGTCTTTTCTGCTTTCTTGGGCTGTTTTTTCCCCACAGTCCTCCTCTGTGCCGAGCTGTCACTCTGGGCAGGTGATTTCTGCCTGCCCCGACCGCTCTCCGAGCCCTTCTGCGTGGGTTTGGAATCTCGCCCTGGTGTAGAAGAAATGGAATCCTTGGATCCACCTTGATCAGTGTACCCACTCCCTGTGCCCTGATCCCGTCCCTCTTTTTTGTAGCCTTGGGAGGATGGAATATTGCTGTCCACGGAAGAAGCTGGTGACACTTTATGGGAATTGACTTTGTTCAACCAGTTATCCAGTTGCCACTTGTTTGTCGGCGGTGGCTCTGGCTAAAAACAAATTAAAAAACAGAGTTAGAGAAGATATTTCATTTTTCATTGCATTTCTTCCATCTTTTCCACGGGATAGCTGTATGATGCTGCACACCAAAGCACGAGGTGCACCCAAAAACCTGAGATAAATAACAAATGAAATACCGATATAAATAACAGCTCAATTTTCCTTTCATCTGGAGCAGCTGCTATCAACAGGCAGTATTTGATGTCATAGTTTTTTAAGGTACTGTTATTTAACTTCTGCTTTCCAACAGACAACTGGTGGTACAGACCATCTCAAATTTAAACATCACGTGTCTGTTTATATAGAGAATTGTCATACCCAACTACAGGTCCTTCGGCAGAACAGTTCAGCTTGAAAAAGAACCCACGTTGGTCTATTTATTTTTTCCAACAGTTTGAGAATTTATTAGTCTTTCCTGTGTTAAAGCTGAGCATTAATGCCAAGCATGGGTCAAACCCTACCTCGGGGGATGCACTCTGGGATGGTTCATTGGCTTCACTGTCACTGGAACTGCTTTCACTCTCCGAGTCAGATCCTGAGCTGCTTTCAGAGCCACTGTGGCTGCTCGAGTCATCCCTGGAGTTATCTGCTCCTTCACTGTTATGCTGGGAAGGTTCAGAATTACTGAAAGAAAAATGGTGAAAAACAAGCATTACCCAAGCCCCAGATACATCCTAGAACTCCTTTCATTAGAAATTACAAAATATAAAATTTTAATTAACATTTACTAGAAAATGCAACATAACTGAACACAGTTCATTGTGGAAACAACCAAACTTTGGTTTTTCCCTCCTTCCCAAAGCGGTCAGTGTAATTTGCAGGATAGACACTATTTAATCACTGATTAAATTCTAATCATCTTTTGCTTTAATACAAGACAAAGGACAAATATGAATTTTGGAAACGAGCTCAAGCCAAGAGTGCTGACTAGGTTGAATATCTTCCCTCTCTTTCCTATGCTGCAATCCCCCAGGAATTCCTACCTTCCAGGTGTGCTCCTTGGCACTGTCTTATCGCAGTCCTGCAATTAAGAAAAACAGCATGAAGCTTCTAGAAGTTATTTTAGGCTTGTATATACAATTAAGTTGCAAGACATCAATTTAGAGCCTTTAATTTTTTTAATATAGCATCTTCATTCAGTATTTGCAGCAGCTTAAATTTATCTGCATTTTCCTTACACAGAAAGAAAAGCAAGAGTTATTTTCTCCAGGTTGTCACCACAAATCTCTATATTCTGACTACAGTTGTGAGAATTCCCATTTCTACCACTAATTAATAACACATTTCCATCTTTTTGAATCAGATGATTCAGCATTTCACAAAGCTGAAATCCTAAAATGCCCAGGGTACTTGGAGTTCACTGACTAAATGCATTATCTCCAAGTTTTCCACATGAAGAAAATCAAGTACTAGAACTGGGAACATGAAGAAAAGAAACACCAGAGGAGTGAAGTTACTGCTGGGCAGCACAGACATACAGGTATTTTTATTTCACATGCTAAGGGCCATTTCTAGCAGAAGCTGCATAAAGTTAATACCAAAAAGAGTAAAAAAGAGATTTTTTTTTTTTTATAAAAATAAAGGTGCTGCTGTACTCCCAGTGACATATACAGCACCTCTTATCATCCCAGACACGCTCCCAAGGTACCAATGCACAGAGATGTTCACACCATGAACTCTTTAGCTGGAATGGCAGAACATGAGGGTTCCATCTTAAATAATGAGCCATAATTTATGTTTTAAAGTACACTATTGCCATTTGGTGTTCAGAGAAAGCCCACGTGAAATCAGTAAACAAGAATTTCTAGATAAAAGCATGATGGTTTTCACAAAACAATTTTCCCCCAAGATTACATTTAGGAATACCTGAGGTTTGCCTAAAAACATTCCACTAGATTTTAGTTTCTTAATCCCAAATCTCCTGTTAAGCTGCCCAGTTTGCTGCTGGGACACTGATCCTGCTGCAGGACTGAACCATGAATGAATTCAGTGTTTTTCTGGAACTCTGATTTAAGGAACATACCTGCTCTCCATCGCTGTCTTCACTACTGCTGAGTTTTAAGTCATCTTTCAACATACTAAGTAAAAGGGAGAAAGTGAGACAAGTTTTTCCAGGTACTTTAATTACTTTCAAAGCATTCTTCTAGATTTCAACATGCCACTGTTTATCCTACAGAGAGGCTGCGTGGGTGAAAGCCACCAGATACTATTCAAACATTTCACGTTTAAGAATGGTGAGCTGAGTCATTCTTTAGAGAAGAATAAGGATTCAGGTACTTTGACTCCTTAGTCCATTCTGCTAAATTTAGAAAGGAAATTTGACACAATTTACTGATGTGGGAGGAGGTAACTTGTATATGTTCAACTTCTTACACACAATGGCCAAGAACAGTGTTTTAAATGGAATAAAGAAAGCCAACAGCAGTGGTTGCTTCCTGTCTTGTGGCAACAGTGCAACTGTCCTAAGCCATAATTAATTATTATTATTCAAAGCAATAATTACTTATGGTAGTCATACATACACACACTGTTTCACAAGACTGAAAATACATGAGCACACCGAAAACATATTAACAGGGTTTTTATGATTACAGAGAAATATATTTGATTATAAAAATAAAACATCTTACTCTGTCTGGTTCGATTCGCATCTGCAGAAAGAAAATGAGAAAGGATTACAAAGTCTCACACTTCTGAGTTTCACAGTAGAGCTGTTCCTACTGATGATCTGGAAAGGAACACCAGCCTCTAGGATTGTGATCCTGAAATATTTGTCACTGCTGTCCTTTTCCAAAAGATGCAGTTATCTCCTTTTTAGAGGCTTTTTTTACCAGATCGTAATCACTTTTTAAAAAAAAAAAATCATTTAAAGCTGAATTGTCACAGTAAACATCATCTAAACTTTCTTCCCATGCATCTCAGCTCAGCATGTGTCCAATGTTGCCTCTTGTTCTCACATGTCCTCACGTTTCCCATCTTTGGAAACAGTAAAGTTCCTCTCAGCATCTTCTTAAACTGCATGTTTTGGGGAAATTTACTGTAAATCTACATTAATTGAGGGAGGTTTCTTTTTGTTCTATTTCTTTCCCATAGGTCATGTGCTTTTTAATCTTGCCAATTCAGTGGCAGAAGAACTAGACTTAATTCTGTGACTGCATCCCAACAAATGGTAACTGAGAGTAAGTTTTCAGATTCTACTTTCATTAACATACAATCAGCCAGTAAATATTAATTTTATGGGTATATTTGTTTGGAAACAATCTTTTAACTGCATATAATTGATTTTTAGGTATGAGAAAGGTGGACTACAGCCATCTAAAATATTCCAGTTGCTTCTAAATTTTTCTGTGTTGATGTGTCCATGTCCATAACTAATGAAACATTTGTCAGTGATTAAGAGACTGAGCAGAACAAACCTCGCAAGATCCCAGACACAGTTTTCTGTCTCCTCCAATCCAAAACCTTTCCTTATCCTGTATTTGTGACACCTACAAGCTGCTTCCAGCTGACAGCTCTGCAAGGCACATGTTTGGTAAGTCCTGTCCTGCCCACTCTCACATGCTGATCCCCTTCTCCTGCCAGCCAAGGAGAGGATGCTGAAGTGTCTGTGCAAGAACTGACACATTCTACTAACAGCTACTCTCCAAATCTCTTAAAAATATGGCCGTTTTTTGTGAAATGTTTTCTCAACAGCTACTTACGATTTGGATTGATGACCATTGGATGTTTTGGACGAAGGATTATATCGTTCTAGAGGAAGAGAAAAAGAAATGCACAGTTGAAAACTCTGGCAGCAAAAGAAGCCACTCCAAAGCTGTCACAAGGATACAGTCATGGATAAACCATGAACAGCTGAGGGGACAGGAAGGAGTAGTAACCAGGTGACACGAGGTACAACCTCTCACAGACTGAAGGAGGGAGGGAACACCAAGGCAAAGTACTAAATACAGCCAATAATTTAATCAAGAAAATCTAGAAAAATCATTTAAATCATTGTTGTCTAAAAGAACACACAGTTTGTTACTAATGATGTGAAATCTGTTTTGCTTTTACTAAGATTAAACTATTGCTTTCTGCATGGAGGATATGGGATATAGATCTGTCTGTTGAGCTCTGACTGTTTCAGCATCCCCACACAGCTTTTGAGTGGACGAGCGACCTCCACATCCCAAAATCTGTCTGCAACACCAGTACTGACAACAGGAATACACTCTGTTATCATCTGCTTTTCAGTTTGGTTTTTTCCCCTTCCCTTTCCTTTCATCCTGGCAAATAACTGAGTGTAGCTCAACAGAAACAAGAACTGAGACTGTTTAAAGCTTTCCAGAAAATCCAAACTGGAGTTGAAAACTGGTTCTGTGTTTTAATTAACCTTCCTCTTCCTTTACACACCTAAAGATCAGCTGCTCCTATAACGTGAGCCTATGGTTTAGCATTATGGAATTAAGCTTTAATTTGTTTCCTTAAATCCCCACTGTATCAGGTGTTCACATTAAGCTGCTTGTGAATATCTAAGAATAAACCATTCTTCTTTTACTATTTAAGCTGTTTAATCACTTCAAGAAGGAGTGGAAAGACTTTTGGAAGGTAAGAGTACAAATGGATTTCAATTTTAGCTGGTATGTTACCTGCTGTAAGTGTTACTTTCAGCAATATTCAAAATAATTACACAGTTAAAAGAAATAAAAACTGCTTTTGTCTAAAATCCAAAAATGCATTCTGGGACAAGAAGTTCAAGGATATTACTAAGCATATTATATGAGTTCTTGACCAGTTCTCTCTCTTGATTTTAAAATGTCAAAGTGAAAACCAAGAGTGAAACTTCAATGTCCTTTTTCTACTGAATGTAAGCAAAAGCACTATTTCAGTTTCTAATTTGTCCCCAAGCAGGGAGTTGGGTTTTGTAAAAGTGTTTTGGTTTAGTACTCAGCTATTTTCAATTCAATCAACCAAGGCAGCATTTTTTAAAGAATTAGAAAATGTGATCAATTAAAAATAGTTATTTTTTCCTGCAACTCAGTGATAACTTTCTATATCTGAACAGAGAAACGCAAAAGGAAATCAAGCAATTGTTCTATAGCTTAAAACTTGAAAAAGTAGACTCCATCTTATGACCAGTCTGGAAAATCTCATTCCCTAAAAAACATGGCATCTTAGGAGATGCTGAGAATCATGGATGTCAACAAAAGCATTAAACATATTCCAAGAAGTTTAATATACTCACTCTGTTCTCCAGTGCCAAAACTGGACTGCTGAGATTCCTGAGGGAAGAAAAGATCACAAATGTTGGGTTTTTTCCACTGGGAATTTTAACATACTAAAAACCAGGCTGCAAGGAAGATATTCTTTCTACTTCAAGGATGGCATCTAACCTCTGAAAAATGGGAAAAAACTATCAACAACCAGAAAGAGGGATTCATTATCCAGGCCCCAGAGCAGCCCAGGTGAAGAGCTTCCCACTCCTCTTCTTCATCCCAGCTCACCCATGCCCTTGCTGTGCAGTTGCACTGCATCATCGTTGGAACTCCAAAATTCCTCTGTAACTTCCATAAATCCCAGCTCCCTGTATGTTTAGCATGGAGAGGAACCATTCAGAATGTTTGTTTATCCTCCTTATACACAAACTTTGCTGCTTGTTTGAAGTATTTTCCTTCGAACCCTTTTCTCCTCTTTTTCCTTTTCCAGGCACACACAGCACCCTGAGGGACAAGCAATGAGGACACGAAAAACCTCTCAATAAAAAAATTTATCTCAGCCACAAAGGACCCTAAGGGAGAATCTGAGATTTAAATCGTGACCAGCTCTGCACACTCTGCCCAGAATACTCCATGCTGGTCCCTGGTAAATCCAGCCAGGCCTGGGCAGCCAACACACTGTTCCCAGAATAGCCAAATCTCCATGAAATCACACAATTCCCTTGTGCAAAAGCCAATAAACAATGATACTATAGATTTACAGAAAGGTTTGGGTTGGAAGGGACCTTAAAGCTCATCTTGTTCTGTCCCTCTGCCATGGGCAGGGACACCTCCCACTAGCCCAGGTTGCTCCAAGCCCCATCCAACTTGGCCTTGGACACTTCCAGGGATGGGGCAGCCACAGCTTCTCTGGGCAACCTGTGCCAGGGCCTCACCACTCTCACAGCCAAGATTTTCTTCCTAATATCATATATAACTAGCTGTGAGAAATGAAGGCTTGCAAATTTTAGCACTTTTATCATCTTCAGTATTCCCATTCCACAGAAACCTCAACTCTGACTCCCAAGACACAGCAGATTATAAACTTTTTTGAAACCCTAAAATACTGCTTTAACAAACAAATACACAGAGGCTACTGAGCTACTGAAAACCCACTTCCAGGCTTGAGTATCTTTTTAAAATAGGACCTTCCTGACCTCATTTTAAAATGAGGACAACTGCCAGTCCCAGAAATACAAATTGAGTCAAATATTTTCAATTTTTTAGCTACATACACACGTTTTACCTAAATGGTCTGGAAGTAGCCTACCAAAATTACAATAATATTAATTCCACTTTTTCTGGTACACCTGTGAACCAGTTTTGCCACACAGCCAAGTCGGTGCCAGGCAATTTATAAAATGGAGGTTTTTAAACACACAAAAGCTTTACACAGCAAAGCAGACTTAAAATGTTTCAATTTCCCTTAACTTTGTATTTCTCAAGTGAAGTAGTTGCAATAATGCACTGAACAAGTATTTTGTGCAAGGGGAACTTGATGGGGAACCTGATAAGGAACTCTCCTTGGAAGGTGTTTCTGATCTTTACTAACTGAAAGAAATGAAGGGACAATAAAATAAAATTAACCTCTGTTTAAAGTGCAAAGCAAAGATGGAGAGAAATCTTGTGACTTCAACAGAAAGCAACAGTCACACTTCCTTCAAAATAAAACCTGTTTTTTTATCTTTTACACAGGTAGGAAGAGGGCAGATGTGATTCCCTGAATCTCTTTTGCCACTGGCAGCTCAGACGCCAACAGACTAAGTCAAAAAAGAAGTTATCAACCACACACTAATCAAACACCACACCTCCAGAGGCACTGCACTGAAGGGAGCATGGGATGGGGAACTGGCACCCCTTTACCAGCACATGGATGAGGAATTTGCAGAACACACCTGCCTAATTCCTCACTTTAGTCAGCTTCCTACTTGGAAGGCAAAGCACAGGTTCTCAGCTAAGTGCACTTTAATGAGGTGTTATGGTTAAATGTGCAACTTTTTCCAACTCTCTTGCCATCTATTGAATACATATTTCCTTAAGAAACTCAGAGATCAAAAAAAAAAAACAAAACAGCTCTACTTTCAACTCCAAAGATATTTACAGCAGCAGCTTCTAAAGGTCTGCTTCAGAAAGAAATTCAAAACAACTGAAAGGAAGGAAACCCTTTTAACCAAAATATAATAGACTGCTACAGTTACACAGGGAAGGCACTTAAGCAGGAAACAAAAAGTATGACAAAAAAACGTGGAGAGAGGAACTCTCCAGCTGGACGGGACGGCACTGGGGGCCGGATTCCCCCCTCACAGACCTGGCTGTGGTGAACGGGACCCGTTTCCATTTAATAGCTGAAATAATCTCAGGTCAGATCTCATTCTGATTTCTCAAAAGGAAGTTTCCATATTGCTGCAGATCAAGGGATCCAACTGCTCTCCTCGGTTGCTCCGGCACAGGGCAGGAATGGAGGAACCTGGAGGCGGAATCCACCTCTCAGTGGCCTTCAGGCCCCGGCACAGGTACAAACAGTGCCAAGCCTCCCATGGTGCTGGGAAACAAAAACCTTCCCCTCCCCAACAAACAGCTGGAGTTTTTTAATATATTTTATAAACACGCCAGTATTTTGGCGTTTTTGACTGTGAGCCCATGGATAAAATTACAGAGTGTTAGGTCACCGGATAACATTTTTTATCAAGTCTCAGGAATCTACATATTTTTCATAGCATCCATAAAACTTTCCCTGACCTATTTTCATGGAGCTTTATCTTCTGATTCAAAGACTTCCTGGTAACTGTTAGATATATTTATAGTAATCAGAGAGGCCCCAGTCAGGAGTTTGAGTTCCTTCAAGCTACTCACTCTCTACACACAGGGAAAGCGATCCCATCCCAACAGTTCGACAAGTAAAATCAAGTGGTCCACCAAAGGGAGCTTAATTCTGTGTGAACAGGAAAAACATACCAACTTTTGCACACAGGAGAAATGCTGTGAAACACTTCAGCATATGACTTGTAATAAATGGAGCACAGTATTAAAGAGGAGGAGCTTTCCTGCAACAGAACTGCTTGATTAAAGTAAACCAAGTGTTTTGTTTTGTTTGGTGAATTCTGCTCTGGGCCCAGACTGCACAAGCCTATGGCTCACTAACTCACTGGAATTCTGCATAGCTGCTGCTGCCAAGAATGACAGAGGGGAGAAGGCAGAGGAAATTATAGGCTTTGGATGCAGAGAGAGAATTTGACAGAGTTCCACGGCTAAGATGTGCAGCCACAAAATAAAAAAGCTGGCAAAAAGTCAAGAGAGTCAGAGCAGCCATAAATGGAATTTTTTGCAAACTGGGTGAAGAAACACAATCCTGGCTGAGAGGTTCAGAAAGCCCCACAAGCCACCTTTTTTGTTCAAATGTTAACACAACTGTGCAGTCCTAGGTAGCTTCTCTCTGTGTCACAGACGTGGATTTCTGCACACTTCTCCCCAGACTGAGTCAAATGCCAGGGATACACAGAAACAAGCAGTATTCAAGTATTCAAAGCAGTGGAATAAGGACCTTTGTTGACGAGGAAAGGTGTGGGATTTCTTTCTCTATAATAAAAGGTACGAATTATTTCCAGGCTGACAGTTTTATATAACACAGCAAATAAACCCTGACTAAGAGTAGTATATGCAAGATTAATATTGATCTAATGCTAAGAAAATAGACGACAGGATTTACTTTCTAGATATGCCTTCCAAAGTAAAGCTGAGAACTGAATGGCATGTTCTGAATTTTCTGATCACTGGAGAGAAACAAAATGCAGTGAAACAGGAACATGCCACACAGAGGGTGGTGACAGCAGGACTGCCCATGGCTCTGAGATATCCAGCCAGGGTGAGAAGCTCAACTCATACCAGGCTGGAGCAGTTTTGTGGATATGCATTTCCAACATGGACCTCAAACCTTTGGCTGAAGGAAGGCGATGTCAAATCATTCACATAAGACGATAGGTTTAGACACATCACATCAGAGACCTCAGTGAGAAAGTTTTCTTAAAATTATTCACTCAACTGTTCTCGTTTGGGGAGCAATTTGGATCAAACAGGAAATTAAGAGCAGCAAATGATGCTCTAAAACAGTACTAGGTCGAATAAAACATAGTCTTAATTATTACAAAGGTAACTTCTAAAAGACAAACAGTCTGATTTCTATAGTCTGAAGCTATGCCAAGTTAGGAGTGGGGCACCCCAATTCCTCCCAGAGATATGTTGAGTCTGGAGAAAAATCCTATTGTTGAGTTGAATCATTTACTGGGTAATCAGCAGATACAGGAAACAAACCATGAATTCCTGGATGAGCCAGGAATCTCCAAGCTGGGTTTTACCCACAGCTATCTCCCCTGCCTACTCATGGGCTCCCAGGATCCTGCAGACTGCAGAGCCGCTCTTCAAGGCAAACAATTCCCAGTGCCAGTGTACCCCAAAGCCCTGCAGCTGGGGCTGCCAGACCCAGCCCCAGGGAAGGAGAGAGAGATCTCCTTCCTCAGAGGTGTCAGCTCCAGCAGGTCTCCTGGAAATGTGCCCAGAGCTGTCAACAGAAGCAAAGAGGTGGTTTTCTCTTTAGAATTAACAGCTTAAACCCTTCATAGTTATTAAGCACACAAGAGGTTGGGAAAAGGACCTTTTGAAACAAGTGATCTGAACATTTCCGATTTTTAAAAGGTTTTAATTTTTTGTAAATGTAAAAATCTCTTAGAAATGGACTTCAAAATAAGGAGAAAATTTCAGTTTAAGCAGAGAAATACATTTAAATTTCTCAGCATTTACCAGCCAGACTGATCCTTTGCTACATGGAGGGAAACTCACTTCGTTCTACATAATTGGTACAAACCATTTTCCTAATAGGGAAAAGGCTCAAAGGCATTTTCAAGCTTCAAAAGTATCCTGAAGGTTTGAATTTATGAAACAAAAGTTAAAAAAGAAAGTTTGATTATAGACAACCTTGCAGATTTCTATCCGTGCAAACCAGAGGAAAACTTTGGACATTCCTCATAAGGCCCCTGCTGACAAGTGGTTTTGAAGCAAAATAAAGAGACATAAAGCACTGAAATAAACCCAGATTATACAGAATTGAATGTAAGAGTTCCAAAATCCTGATCTTTAACAGGAGTTACTTTTACAACATTCAGTATTTGAATACAGCACTGACCTTTGTCGGAAAGGGGAATTTGGAGGGTTCAGTTTTGCATGGTGTATGGATTGCAGTCAGTGGAGGGGGCCAGGAGTGGGTCATCTCCTACAACAACAAGAAGAAAAATTAACAAAATTAAAGCAAAGATTTCATTACAATCTGAATTTGAATGGTGACTGTCTCTCAATTTTCAGCTCATTGTTCACCCTTCACTAAGATTTATATTCAAAACCTTAATTTCCCCAATGTGCAACAAAGATTTTGCATATAAACAGTTTAAAATTCAGGTTATCCATGAGAACAGATATTGCATGTAAACCTGAATTTTAAATTTTTATCCCTGAGAACAGATAGTTAAGACACATTAACAAGCAGAAAGGCATAAATCAATAAACTTGGTTGGCCTGAACATAAACTGCAGTACAGGTCAGAGTCTGATCATTTCAGACCATGAAGAACACGTGTGGGACACGGGGGCAGAAGGAAGAATCCTAGGAAAGGGAAACCTCTAGAGTTTAAGGAAAAAGGGGAAAATCAAATGCCTGAAGCTTCAAAGAAAGTGTCTTGTATTCTTTCAGAGTACCTCTAAGGACCATGCAGCACTGAAGAGGAGATGGCAAGCCATGGAAATGCTCAAGGGGGGTCTGATGATCCTTTTCTGGGAGCAGACATAGGACGGGGAATCACAGGATTCGGGGAAAATAACCCAGGTAGAAGACTGGGAAAATTCTGCCGCAGGGTAGCAAAACACTCACTATACTCTAGAAAGGTATCAGAATTAAGGACTGTATTCTGGTGGAAGAAATGGGTAGTTTTGATTACCAGGGAGGAGGCATAAAAGAGCAAGAACGCAGTGAGGATATTCAGAAGACTGTGTGCACACCCACAATACCCAGTGCCCAGCTCTGCTCCCAGTTTTCCCAAGTCTCCTTGTGCTAGAGGAGCACCTGAAGAGCCCTCCTGTAAATGACTTGCAGCCAAGGCAGTTTGAAAGACACTAATAACTGCAGAGTCCTTCCACTTCCTCAGGAATGTTTGAATTTTCAACAAATAAATGATGAAGAGCACAGGGAACTTACTTTGAGGATTTCATCCACACAGCTCACCTCGCCAGATGCTGATGCCTACAAATCAAAACTTAAGGTTAACATCTCCCAAAGCAAATTTTCCAGGGACTAGAAACACTTAAAAACAAACTTCAATCCTTATCATGACTCATACGGACTCTACATAGATACAAACAGCCCTTGTTAATTCCTTTCATCAATTTTAATATCAGATAGATCCACGTTTTTATGGCATGAGTCACATCCAGTTATGAAAAGTAAATACATGAGATCTATAAAACTGTGACAATGATCTCTTACTTTTCACTCGACAGTTAAAATGATCACAGGCACTCAGTGACATTAAAAACTTCGAGAGAGGGGAATGAGAATTGCAGCTTTCAATCATTTCCTGGAAGAAGCCACAGGATAATATCTTGAATTCAAGTGCAGGACCGTGAATTCACAGAAATGACAAACTGCATTCCCAAGTAAAACACACATTACAGACTGATTTCAGAAACAGCAATAATTACCAAACTATGAATCTTCTGCATCCCTGACTGCCACAAGCAGAAAGAAGCAATGCTGCTACAGGATTCACTGCCTCAGCACTGACATGGCAAGTCTTGACAAATAAAATCATTCCTAATTTCCTTACCTGTGTCCTGAATCTTATTTTGCTATTTGCTGAAATCCCAGGAACAAAGGCTTTTCTCTGGTTACCATGATTCAAGGAGTTAGAGAGGAGATGCAATGAGATCTTATTACTAGGAAAGGCTAGAGAGATCCTTGTCAGTGAGCTGGAGTCAGAGTCTGTGCCTTAATGAGTCAAGAATTACCGAACTCCTAAAAGTTGTTAACCCAATAGTATTTTATATCCAGCATGACTTACAGAAGTCCCTAACCCTGTTCAATTTGGTGAGTTAGGGTGAGCTTCTTTTCCCTAGGTATATATAATAATCACATTTAGTAATTGCTACACACTTCAAAAGAAAATCTGATATAAGCAGATATTATCAAGTCTAAGTCAACTGGGCTCCCAGTAACAATGTCAGCATCCAGCTTGTCAAAATATTTGTGTGTCCTACTATTTCATTAACTTCTAACTACAGAAATACTCCATGAAAATTAGCCTCTCTGGGTTATCTCACCCTGCCTGAATGTCTCAGCCTTTACCTAATAAAAATTTCGGTACCCACATGGAAGAAGCAGAAGAAAAAAAAACTATTACTTTCACACTTTCCCCATTGAAAATACAGCCTTCACTGCTTATGGTTAAGGTGCTTTGTGTAACAAAAAACACAGTGTTTACTAAAAACTCACTTTTGGTTAGGCAGATTGGGATTTTAAAGAAGCTGGAAAATCCCAGCCCAAATGGATTTACATTTCAGAAGCCAGGAAACAGCCAGTAACTTACATCCAGTGGCTGAGAGGGAATTTTCAGCTTGGTTAGGTGTGCTTTGCTGCTGGGCTTCAGCTCGTTCACGGCGCTGCTGTGGGTCTGACTGCTGTAGTGTTCCGAGGATAACTTTGGTTCCATGGATTCCTGCCCATCCATCGGCCTGACGTATGCAGTGGGTTTTTGTAACATTGAACTGGACTTGGACATTAGTGAAGGTGGAAAAGACTGATTAGAGTGTTGTCCACTTGAAAATGAGGGTACACGGGAGGGAGAGTCCCAGCTGGGATCAGGATCCCGAGGCGACTTTGACCGTTGATGTTCTTTGCTGTGGTGATCATTCCCATGAGATCTCGAATGGCTGGAGCTCAACGAGGAGACAGCAGGTGGTTTTCCAGGGCTGGAAGAACGGGGTTTGGAGTGTTCAGACCCATGCTGGCTTTTTTTCCTGCTGCTGCTGCCGTAGGAATCGCGGTCGTGCCTCTGGCCGGCGCTGCCCGTGCCGGTGCCGCCGGAGCGCTGCCCGTGCCCCGCCAGGCCCGAGGAGCGCTTCTGGGACTGGGAGGAGGTGCTGGGAGCTGGCCCCACTGGAGTCCATTTGCTGCTCTGGTGGGAGCCTGTGCTGTGTCTCTGATCACCAAAGAAGCTTTGGTTTGATTTCTCGTCGGGTGCTGATGGAACGGTCGGTTTGGGAATTGCAACAAGCTTTTGGAGCGGTCTGTCTCCTATGAGATCCGTCATTTCATCATAGTTACCAAGCATGCTCTGGATACGACTGGACAACTTGTCTTCTTTGCTGGTCTAAGAAAACAAGTTTTAAAAAATAATGATTTGAAATCAATCACAATTCCACTTTCACTTAATTGATTTGATAAGTACTGCACTTAATCTAAATTTCAGGTCTAAGTTCATGGCTAGAATTCATGTCTCTTTTGCCATTGTTGCCAATTCCCAATTTTATTTCTTAAAGCAGTAATTTAACAACCTAAAACGTAAGAAAAAGATGTACTTCAGCAGCAGGAACAGCTGAAAGAGCATTAATAAGTGCTTCAAATAATGCAAAGGTGAGCTGGATGCAGGTTTAAAAGCAGTAGATGCCTACTGTCACCTTAAACATTATTTCTCAAACACAGAATGCATCAGTCCTAAAAAGTTTTAATTAGCAGGAAAATAAAATCAGCTTAACCTCACTCCTGCATGTAATTTTTAATTGGTATTTATACTGGCACAATGTTTGTTGCCCAGAGTCAAAAGGGTTCTTTCTTCTATAACCATTTCATTTTCCAAATTAGGTCTATTGGATCATTCCCCACGCATCCCAATCAGCTCCAGTTAACTTCATAAAGGTGGGATTTGGTTATCAAGGACAGGAAAGTAATTAGAGGACATGAATAAAAAAAAAAATTCACCAAATATTCCTCAACTTTCCTCCTGCAGGAAGTCAGTTTTCAGTAACAATGTTTTACTTCTTACAAACCAGTTGAAATCGTAATAAGGGAAGAGGTTTGCTTTCAAAGTGAGTTCTGAGCTACATAATTAAAATCTTAAATGGTGTTTTATTAGTTATCCCAGAATTAGGTTATTTTTTCCAATTCTGCTCAGTAAAGTAAACCTGGTAGGAAACCCAGCACAGGTTTAAAGCTGTGCAAGATCATAAACAAAATCAAGTCCTTCTAAACAAACTAAAAAAATCAGATACAAACTACTGGAGTACTAGTTAGAGCTTATAACTCCATCCTATCAGGGATTTCAGCATTTAAAATTGACTTCCTATTTAAACATTCTCTTTCTGAACTTGCCCAGATCTGGATTACACTGATTAAAGGTTAGAATGTTTAGCAACCAGCATTCATTCACCCCAAAAATGGCAACTTGGCATCACACAATGGACAGTTTAAGTGTTTTGAGACACCGTACAGAAAGTGAAGGAAGGAAAAAAATTTTATGATTTTATTTTTCCTCTTTCTCATTCCCTTCAAAGCTTCCCCTCCTTCCTAAGCACTGTAAATCTGCCAGTGGAGCTGGTTAGTGACTGTCCAGCCTTATTTTCAAGCCCTGCTTAAATACTCAGTTGCCGTAAGAGCTTTGGATCTAAAAAGAATGCAGATAAAAATACATTTAAAACATGATTTCTGTCATAAAACCTGCATTTCTAAGCACTGCAGAAACTCACCACTTTGTAAGGTTCAGCAAAGAGAGGGGAGTTGGGTGGAAAGGCTTCGTCACCCTGCTGAATTTCTTGATTTCGCCTTTCCCTTTCTTTCATACGCAGCACATTCCGGTCTTCACGGTTCATGTTGCTACGGGCAAAACAGATAATTTCTGATCACAGAAGGAAACAAGGAGAGATGTGAGTGCACAGAGGGACGGGAGTGCACAGAGTCAGCCCCTGGTCCTGTTTGGCCAAAGAATGAGGATCATAACTCCTCAAACCCAGAGGTTTGTCCAAATTCAGCCACTTCCCCCTCCAAAGAGCTGTAACCCCCAATCCACAGCTGCTCTAACAGGGAAACTTTATGCAGTATTCAAAAAAAAAAAATATTGAAAAAAATCCACAAAGTCCTCAGGCAAGTAACTATTTCAAACCATTTCACCGCTCGACTCATTTCGCTGTCTCAGCCCACGCTGCACATCTCCCATTCATTTCTAAAATACCTTTTCTCCCCCACAACCCCCAGATGTTCTGTAACCCCCCACCCATTCAGTGCCTGGCTTTTCCTGTAGGTTTGGGTTTATTTTTGGTGCCGACATACCTTTTTTTGGCACCCATCCTCCAACATCTTCTAACCTCAAGCTTTGATGTGGTTTCCAGGTCTCCCTTCCTCCCCTGACTCCCAAAAGGCATTTCTACTCAGAGCAGTAATTTCAGGGAAGTTCTGGCAATATTGCACCTTCTGCCTTGGACCATATTCTCCTACTGCAAAAAATTCAGATTAAAAACTTGCTAATACCCCTTCTTACAAATTTTACTTTGCAGTTTGGTTGTGCTGCTGGTGTTAACAGAAATACATCAAATTGTTGCAACACACACACACACAAAAGCTGGAAAAGATTCCCTCTGAACTTGATAAAGCATTGGGACTTAAAGGAGCAAACAAAGTAAGATGAGAAATAAGGTGGTACTAATTCCTTTAACATTTAATCCCAGAATGGTTTGGGTTGGAAGGGACCTTAAAGCACATCTATTCCATCCCCTGCCATGGGCAGGGACACCTCCCATTAGACCAGGTTGCTCCAAGCCCCATCCAACTTGGCCTTGGACACTTCCAGGGATAGGGCAGTCACAACATGTGCTAAACTTTCTACTAAGTGATTTAGAAATGTGCTTTACGGATCTGCACAAAGTACAGGAGGTGTTCCCAAGAAAAAGTGATGTTCTTCCACATAATTTGCAGTCTAAAACGAAAATGTTGACTGCTTAGAAAACCATTATTTCGTGTTTTTAGACAGCTGCCTATTAAAAAGAAAAAAAACTTGCTACAGTATGACCCTGAAATTTGTGTAAACCCAGCTATCCCATTCTCAACAGGAAAACTTCAACCCATCACTCAGTTTTTAAAATACAAATCTCTTCACCTCAATAATATTATAGTCTCTTACACTTCTTTTATTCATTTGGCTTCATTTTGTCTATTACTCTGAAAACAGTGAAGTCTAAGAGGACACCTAAACCAGAATAAAGCCAAGGTATAAGTTTAGATCTTTAATGCTTTTTAAGGCAACAGGTTTGTTGTATTTCCCTGCACCATAAACAAGGTATGAGCATGCAATGATGATATCAAGCCTATGAACACAATACATTTTAAACTTTATGTGAAAAATCACTTTTTTCTCCAGTTCCCCTGTAATCAGCTGAACTCATGTAACTGCAGGTGACCATCAAGGTTGAGAGAGGGATCTATGCACTGGAATGTGGCCAGCAAATCCCCTGGATTATTTTGGCATTCATGACAAACTTGTTTTAAAAGTTTGAGGCCTAAAAAGCTCATTCTTCAGACTTCAGCCCAATTTCTTACACATGCAGGATTTAAACACAGACAAATAACAAATTTAATTATAGACACTGATCAGTTAAAGCCAATTAGAACAGTCTGAGTCTCCGGCATTTACTCTTGAAGGCAAATTTTGAGGCAGAGAATAGAAGTGCCCTGGTTTTGGGTGGTTCATTCTCATTAAAGGGATGTGATTGGGAATTATATACAGCTGTACATTCAGAATATTATAATTCTAAAGAATTTTATATCTATAATTTTCAAATAGAGGGTTAAATATTAACAAAGACTTTCCCTATTTTTTACAGAGTCAAGGATCATCTTTTAAAATTTTACCAACATTTACAATAACTCTTGGGACTGCAGAAAAACCAGCATTTTTACCAACACAAAGGAACATTACAGCAAAGATTCATTTGAGATATGAGCTGGAGCAAACCCAGAACTGATCTGGCTGTACCTGCCCAGGTCTATGTAAAATTAGTCATCAGAAATACAGCAGTTAATCACACTTTTAACCACTCCTCCCCAGTCTTTTGTAATGTAGTAAATGATAAAACACTCATGGGTAGTCATGTTAGGGAGATTGGGTTTAGTTTTCTTGAATTCTTTTACATTTTTTATTAGAGCAAATAGTTTGAATGGGATTCAAGTTAGACCTGTTTGTATCTAATCATCTAATCTCTACACAGAGCTATTTTAAGTTCCTCTAATGTGTACGAAGCTATTAAAATCACACTACCACTAAATGTGTAAATAAAGGAAGTTAGTGAGGCTTCCTTAGCTCTGAACTTCAGACAACTTCCCAATTAACTTCCTATCTTGCACAGCCACAAGATGTACCAGAAAATAAGCTGCCCATGTTGAGGAAAAGCAAGGAGAGGTAAAGCAGACGACCAAGGCCTGTCTACTGATCCATGTTGCCAGCAGCTACCTTCAGTGCCAAGGAAATTGCAAAACTAAGTTTTCAGACCACTTGAATTATACCAACCCTGTAAAATCCACTATATAAAATTTAATGGTATGACCAAAGTTCTGTACTGTTTGCCAGTCCTCAGGTTTTTTCCCCAATTTGGAGTGGACACTAATCCCATCTCCTGCTGGTGCTCTGTTATCTCTCAGTTTGGATTCTGGCTGGGGGAAGGAGCTCTGCCCCACCACTGCTCCCACCAGCAGTGCAGGCTGCTCAGAGGCAGAACTGCTTCTCCCTCTCCCACATTTAAACCTTTTCCCACAGGATGGAAGAGCTGGGAGGAGTTGGGGGCAGCCAAGCTCCCATCACTCCTACCCCATCCTCTGGGCAAGAGGACAGCTCCTCTGCTCCTGTCTCTCTGCACACCAGGCCTGGAAGTGGAAAATGAAGATCTTGTTGCCTTGTACCTGCTGCTACCAAGAGGATGTTGCTATAATTTCCCTTTTCCCAGGAGTCCTGAGCAAAGTGTGAAGGAGAAGCAGAGCCAGGCTAAGGGAGACAAAACAGGTCCCTGCAGCAAGGACCAAAGTCACCTTAATTTCCACATCTGGGAAAAGAGAAGTTCAAAAATTAAAAGAAATTAGAGAACGGGCCTAAAGCACAGCACAGTATTTCCATTTTTAGGAAGTTTAACTCTACGTGTTTTGAGTCATTATTTGTGCTCGGTGTGCCCTGCTGAACTCCACACAGTCTGTGTGTATGTGACTGCACAACTGACTGTTCAGATCTCACGCCTCTGTTCCAGCTCAATAGGAAGAGTTGAAAGAAAGAAGGAAAACCCGCAGGGAACTCACAGAAACTTCTGACACAACATTCCCTTGTGTATATTCTTTAATCATCATTAATTACTGCTCCAGGCCCACCAAGCACATCAGTTGTTCAAGTATCACTCAAATCACCCGTACCAGAAACACAATCTTAACTTCTCCTTCCAAAGTCTTCCTAAATCCTATTTGGTATTTCTGTTCATCCTTAATCCAACAAGGGCATGGCTTTGGCTTGAGCTTCCTCAAGCCATCATCATCTTGGATTTTATAACTAGTGTTATGAAACGGCAGCACTGGTGCCACCTTCTCCTGCTTCCCACCTCCCACTCCCCTAGCTCCAGGCAGGGGGGGCACATCCCAGGTCTGGGACTTTTGGACCACAATTTCAGACTAAAAATAAACCCCAATCAACACACCCACAACCGTCAAAGTTTTCCTGGCAATGCTGTTAAAGAGGACCTTGGCCAAACCCTGGTCTGGCAGCCTCTTCTCACCCCCTTGAACCACATCAGGCATCCCAGCTCCTGCCCTCAACCCAGTTCACCACCAGCACTATCTCTCCATCTTCCCAGGCACCATAAGGTAAAACCATCAAAGGTGAAGGTTGGCCCGAGGAACCCTCCAAGTGCAGCCCCTTAAAAGGGATCCAAACCCACCACATCTCAACCAGGCACTCGTGGATCTTCAAAGCCTGTTTACAACACCTCCACTTCCTTCAAGACATCCTCATTTAACTCCAAGGTTTCTTCCATCTCAATTGGTTTCACAAGCAAGAGGAATCAAACAGTTCATTTATCCAGTGTTGGTTAACTGGCAGTGCTGAAACACAAATTTTGTTTGACAACATTTGGCCACAAACGATCAACACGTTCAGAGAACACAGAGTAGCTCGGGCTCTGTGCGGGGCACACCCAGCTCGGGGGGCACACACAACTCCCATGATTGTATTCTTTTTTCTTAAAAGGAGGGGAAAAAGAGGCTAGAAAGCCTGTTTGCAATAAGGAATTATATTTTAAGAAGGCATTTAAAAATACCTGAAGCTGCCTTAATGCTGCACCCAACTCCCTCCCAAAGATGCCTGTTAATTATTTCAAATACTTTTCTTACTTGTAGCATGAACAGCAAGGGGCATTTCAGGAGCTGGCACAGCAAGCTTCTCCCAGTTTGTGCATGGAGCATGGCATTGCCACAAATCCTGCACTAAAATGCCAGTGTCAGCTTTTAAAATGTGCTCACAGAAAAGCTGTTTAAAAAGGGAAAAGTTGAAAAATAACAACAAAACCCCACTGCTACACAAAGAGGAACGTGCTCTGGTGTCACCAAGATACTTAACAATACTTGATACTTCACAATAAAAGTGAATGTGTAATCTTAACTTCCAGATTTCTATGTTATGGTAAAGGAGAAAAATGCAGAAAAAACATAACATTTCCTACTAAAATGATACAGCTTTACCCAAAAGAGCACAAACAGGAGGATTATCCAGGATAAATTTAAAGAATAATCACAATGCTGCAAATACAGAAGCAGCAGAAGCAGCACAGAGTCATCTTCAGAGTTTTATAACT